AACATATGTCAAGACAAGTTGATGTGGGTGAACACATTACGAAGAAAAAAACAAAAAACTGCACTTTGGTTCTGCTAACCTTTTTTCCTCACGATGCTCATAATAGCCGTAACTTCTGTTGTCCTCGTGTGGCCTCTTGCGGCTGTATTGTCCCCCTCTATCACCTTCCACTTTGACCTGATCGGTTGGACCAGAGCTATCGGACTCTGGCTTTTGTTCTGATTCTTCAATATCCTGATTTCTGTAAGGAACAGACTCGTTCTCCTCTTCTTCAGTTTTAATCTCAACTTTAATGTCTACATCTAGAGAGAAACAGATAATTTCAGCAAACAGTTATGTGATTTCATGTGAGAATTCAAGTGTACACACATATTAATGTTTAATGTAGACCTGTAGGGGGTGTTTTTTTTTAAATAGATCAAAACATAAAAGTCAAAGCCAATTTTATTGTCAAATCATAACATGTTGACAACTGTATTGTCAACATGTTATGATTACATTATGATGATATTAGAAGTAAAGTCAAACAACTTATATTTAGGCACACTAAAATCACCTGGTTTAGGCTCCACATTCTCCTCTGAGTTTAACTCCGTCTCAGGCTGTTCCTCTGACATTGCTTCTAGTTTGTTTATATCCTCAGCAGGTTTGTGTATATCCTCAGCAGGTTTGTGTATATCCTCAGCAGGTTTGTTCTCAGCAGGTTTGTTATATCCTCAGCAGGTTTGTGTATATCCTCAGCAGGTTTGTTTATATCCTCATCTGCAGTGAAGTCTGGCATGCTTTGACCCATGTCAGAAGCTTGATTAGTGTCGTAGGGTTCACCTTCAGCCTCTTCTTCCTCATAGTAGCCACCCGAATCTCGGGCTTCGTCTTCCTCTTCAGGGAATTGGCCTTCACCATTCCCATCATCGTTATCATCTTCCTCAACCTCTGCTGCAAACAGCAAAAACAATCCCAAAGCACATTAATGCAGTCTAAGGCTGCAGGTTAAATATATTCATGTGATCAGGTGATATGATCAGGTGAAGTGCAAAAATGAGAATCATTTAAAAAAAAAAAAAAGCAATTTGTTTGTTTGTTCAAAACCACAATTATCTGATTACTTTCCTTGGGACAGAGGGAAATCATGTTATGTTCACATTTAACGACGTGTAATAGTATTCATTTTGCAAAACTTACTTAAAAATACATGTTACTAACAAGAAATGTCTTATCAATAATTTGCAAAGGATACCACCTTCTACAAAGGTTATGCAAACAATATGATTTAAAGTCAAAAGTTCGTAAAGTGGAATAACAAAGTATCAAATTCAATGAGGAGCTAAATGTTTTTCAAATATATACTGTATATTATCAATAGCACATACCTTGCTCCTCTTGGGTGTCCTCCATTTCTTCGTTATCCTGACAGTATTCAGGCTCTTGTTCCCCGGACTCTGGAGCACCATCATCAGCCTCAGCTTCAGCCTCCATGGCGGCCTTCAGTCTCTCCACCAGATCTGCCTTCAACCCCTTCGTTTCCAAGCCACGTCGCTGGAGCTCCTCTTTCAGCTCATTTACTTTCAGTTTCTTCACGTCAACGCTCATCGTGGTTCCGATTTCTCCTTCTTGTTTAATAGCCTGGAGGATATAAAGATAAACTAATGTTAACGCGATACCATAAACAACAGAGTGCCATCTACTTTTAAATAGAATCAGTTACGCGCTCATCTTCTGCCAAGAATGCTACTAGCTTGTTGGCTAAGTTAGCCGAGATAGGCTAAAAATGCAGAACCCATCGTGTGTTTAAATCTAAGTAGATAAAATGCAGAAACCGAGCTTGCATTTAACTGATCTCCGTCGTTTTTGTTGAAAGTTACTATGCTATTTAATACTCCAGAGAGGTCAATATGCAAATAGGATTGTCTGTAAGGGGCTAACGTTACTAACGTCCTAAGCTGAGCCGTTTCTAATGTCAAGCTCATTCGCGTAGGACAAGTAGCGTTATTAAAAGAAAATGCAACCTACAAACAGCGTACAACTTATATCGTTAATTGGAGACAGATACATAAAATGCATATCCTCTGAAATGGCTAATGTACAAAATAATCCAAAGTGTATCAAAGGCCTACCTTTTCTCACGCCAGTTCGCGCGGGTCAACAGTAATGGCGGACTGAAAAGATCGCCACTGCCTCCTAGCGACAGAAACTAGAACCGGATATAATCAAACTGGTGCTTCCGGTAGGGGTTAGGCGATAAAATAAAATCAACGCATTAGCATTTTTTTTTTTTTTTGAGTTTTGTCTGTATCAATTTCTTTTCTTTTCTTCCCATATTTCTTCACCATGGTTGCGAAGGCGATAAAAAAATGAATTACTTGTTTTTGATGCATGCCATTTTAAATGGAAAATTGCAATTCTATCATTCTCTATTCATAGACCTGATTAATTGACATTTGTCTATAATTTTTCATTTGCATCTCTCTTAAATTCAAATAAATCCAAAACCTAATAATTAAAATGTTTTTTTATGTTTTTGGATTTGTACGTCAATTTTGGTTTTTACATCCATCCATCCATCCATCCGTTTGACCAACATATTACATATTCCTTATATACAGTATATATAAACGTTTGACCAACATATTACATATTCCTTCCATAAACCCTTTCACCAAAAACATGTTTTGGTAAATTAAAAACACTTTTCGATTAGGGAACACATGAAATACTTTGTTTGGCCTTAAATATTACTTTGTGGCTATTATTAAAATTGGCACAATACAACCAAATGTGGTTAAAATTTCACTGATGAGCCTGGGACCTGGGCAGTCTTGTTAAATCCTTTAAAACGTTCCTACGAGTTAGACAGACCTACCATACTGACTTAGGTCATCAGTACCTGTTCTTTTTTAATAAAAAGGTTTCTTCCTCTGGTAATGTTTCAATACCTTCCCTGGTTAGATTACAGATGAGTGAATCCAACTGGTGTTAGATCACTTCAAAGGACAGATGTGTATAAAACAAAGCAAGTTCAAAGTCTTACTAAAATTCATACAGAGGAGTTTTTATGCATATATTTTCATTTACATGGCTGTTGAAGAGATTGGCCATCGGCCATGGTGAAAATATAGCAAATGTTTTATTCATTGCTTTTACATTTACAGAGATGTTTATTTGGTGCTGAGCCCCCAAAGGGACACAGGAAAAAATATTTTCTGGAGAAAGTTTTGCACATATAACTTGTGGTTGAACGTTTATTTATTTTTTCCCCATCTCCCACTAGGGGTTCCGTGGTTTGATGCCTTGGACCGTTACTTTTGTTTTACAGACAGGTAAAAACAACACAATTTTGACAATTTGTCAAAACATGATTTGTTTGTTTGTTCTTTAGAGGATTAGGTTGGACACTGTAAATGATATACTATATATTTTTAGAGGATTAGGTTGGACACTGTAAAACCACTATAGGTGTGAATGTGAGCGTGAATGGTTGTCTCTATATGCAATGGACTGGGAGAATTTTCCAGTGCGTACCCGGCCCTCACACATTGGCAGCTGAGATTCACTTCATTGCCCACTGTGACCCTTTAAAGGAATAAGCGGTAGATAATGGATGGATGGAACCAAAAATATATTTTCTTTTTCAGAGACCAATAATGATTGACACTCTCCTTTAGTACTTTTCTTAAATAGTAAACAGACAGAACTAGCCTTGTTGTTCATGAATGTAAAAATGATGTGGAACTGACCATAAGGTAGAGTGTACCACTCACATACTGTATAACACCCAGGAACATGAGAACACTTCAAGACAAACACAAGACAAACACTAATTAAGTGTGGCACATATTTCATGAACAGAGATCACATTTTTATGTTACCACACTCAGTTTGTCCTGAATCACAAAGAGGATTCAAAATATACATACAAGACATACTGATACAGTCCTATGTAATCCACTCGTGATGGGGAAAAAAGGCCAAAAACATGACAATCTGTATTTTCATAATTTAGGATTCAGGGGATGATTGAAAAGAATAGTCATATACAAGGAGTGATACTTAATATATTAACTTCAGGGTCATGAAAATCTTTATCAACAGTTGATTACTAAAATCAACATGCAAAAATGGATTAGGAAGTCCCCTATGAATATCACAGCGATTCCCTTTTACCAAACATTACATGAGTTAATAAACCGCACAAATCCACAGCACACTGATATGCTCATGTCCACCCCTTCCACCCAACTTAACGGGTTTAGGAGACAGTGTGTAAAGCCAGGGTTTATTCTCATGTTGTTCATACAGCTGTCACATATTGCTATTCTGTTTTTCTTTGACACACTGACCACAAAACAATGCTGCCCTAAACAGAATGGAACCAACATTTTCATTTAGAGTTAGTGGCAGCAGGGATGGCCAGCAGCAGCCGGTTGGACTCTCTCAGTCGAGCATCAAGAGTCTCTGTGGTGAGTGATAGTTCCGCCACCTGAACTTGCAGGTCTCGAATCGTTTCATTCAACTCGTCCTCTTTGCGGCGAGAGTTTACAGACTGCCGGGTGTATTCTAGCACCATGCAACCACCTCCGATGAGAAAGATGATTGCTTCTCCCAACAACTCTGCACCCAGCTCTGCAGCTGCTTCTTCATTCAGAGGCTTAATGGTTGAACCCCGAAAACCCATTATCCGCATCTTTGTTCTCATTTCAATCCAGTGGTAAACTGCAAAGAGAAGCAGACAACACATAAAAGAATGAAAATTAAGTGTACATCCCTATCGTGAATAAGCTGTAAAATAGATCTTTAATTGACACTGGGCAGCAATGAGGTTGTGCTGTTTCCACCCAACAACCCACATGACTTAAGGGTGTAGCCATATCCAGATTGCCCTCAGTGTCCTGTCTTGATAAAACCAGCTAAGAATATATAGCGCAACCTGCTCAATGACAAACCAGACCCGCCCTCTTATCGCCCTCTACAGAATGCTATTGGTTTACCATACAATACCATGAAGACTATTGGTTATGCGGCCCTGACAGCTTCCCCGTCATTGGTTAGTTTTGCTTATACAGTCCAGCTATATTCCGGGTGTCGGAGACAGAATTAGCGGTCACTGGCAACTTTAACATCGGTTACTCACACTGTGCAGGCGGCAGACAGACGTAGTTCCTGAAGAAATCACTCTTCCGAGCTCCCGCTTTTATTCGATTTGCCACAGGCTTGCTCATCTGCCTCACTCCCAGGTAGAGGAGCTTGGCAATGGGAAAGGCACCAACGACCATCTTGGCGGAAGCGCTGTCACCTCTTCTTCACGCAACTTCAATGACAGTTGCTGAAAAGCCAATGGGTGCATTACTGCCACCTAGTGGTACGAACCATAATCGGATTAGGTTCTGTTAAAAATAATTATAGTCATTCCATCCATCCATCCATCCATCTATCCGCTTATCCGTTACCAGGTCGACGCGGCAGCTGTCGCCACCTAAATCACATTGCACCGTACCAACCCCCCTAAACCTTCTTGCGGGTGGTGAGTCCACTGGAAGGTATCAACCGCCCTAACCGGGATTCGAACTTACCCTGGAAGTGAACCCTGGGGTTCCACACCAATGGCCAAAAGCGCCACATTATAGTAATTTTTTTTGGTGTTCATTTTCAACGTGAAAAAACACTTTCAACACTAAAACACTATCAAACGCAAAAGAACAAAGATCTAAGGCAGACCAATGCTACAGGGTGTTTGCTACAACTGTACGTGTACATATCAAAGGCAAACAGGCTGTTTTTAATGGAGTCCTGATAGTTCTTGTTCCTGTCCCAGAGAAAAGTTAAAGTTGATGAATGTACAAACTAAAAACCCACTCAAATAATAATCTTTTTACAAGACATACTAATTTGTATTAATCGTTTCAACTAACCAGTTTCCATGTGTATACTGTAATGTGAGCGTTTATATTTACGTTTGGAAAAGTAATGAAATTTGTTATTGGAAAAACGAGTGTGAATAAAAGCGTTTGGGAAATATTATCGGCTGTTTTGTGTTTTGATTTTGTTTAGTCACGTTATTGTTCTGACAGCAATATCATAACTGTTTCATGATAAAACACATTCAACAACAAAGGTAATCAGACAACCCTGAAAACTTAATTAGTTCGATTTATTTCTTAAACAACTCGTCGCTTTACATAAGCTTTTTATTTACGGTTTAAATACTACGAGCTGCATTGTCACCGTCGCGCTTGTGTGACGCCACAGAGCGGAACAGCTGATCGCCCGACGTCACCAAGGCGCCGTTGACAACACAGCTGCAACAGCAGCACGAGTTTCACCTTGTTGTGAACTCAACTGGACACGCACTCAGTAACCGAGGAACGACGGCAGCAAAACTTGAGATGCCGAAACACTGCTCTGTACCAAACTGCAAGAATGACTCAGGAAGTAGTAACGAGAGGAAAAGCTTCTACAAGTAGGATGTCAACAAAGTTGGACTTTTATGTTCAATCTATGGCGAAATTGACAGAGGTGTCATGTACTGTGTTTTCAAGGAAGAACCACTCGCCTCGTTTGCTCCTTTAAAACTATCAGGAAATGACACGTCGTTTGTTATTTTACCATCGAGTTTTATGTTTGGACAAGACATTTCATGTTGACTTTGATTGGGTTTGTTTTCAATCGTCCTGATTAAATCGAAACGTACAGACAGAGCCTTCTGAGAAGGAGGTTCCCGATGATTAGTTTCGATAAAGGCCTAGTCGTTGCATGTAAATGTTTCGAATATAATCTCATAACGGTTTTTTTTTAAAACTTCGGGTTAAACATTTACAGATAAGCTCTAGTAGTGAGGCTGGGCGTACAGTTTTTACCTTACCTTACTTTTCGACCAAAGTTAGGTGTTGGGAACAACGCGTGAATGTTCCCAAGACGAAAAGTAAATACATTTTAATATGGGTTATAATGATCAAAAGAGTTTCAAATTGAAATTTTAATACAGTAAAGACAATATGTCAATTTAAAGATAATCGTAGCTAGTATAAGCTTTTCGCAAAGAATACAGATTTCAATGGATTTATGTTATTTTAAAATCAGCTGTGGCGTTTGTTGTGTTTTGCAGTTCACATTGAACAAATTAGATCAAAACAGTCATAAATGTCCTCAGGTTATCTACTTAATACTTTATCAGTCATTTGTATTCTGTAGTTGACTTAACAGATTTACTCCTTTTTAAATCAGCAATCAAAAAACAGAAGTTCTTAGAATGTATCTCTTTACACATCAGTGTTATTTACAGCGTGAATACGTTTTAAGTTCCACTCTACACTAACCTGTGCCAAGCCAAAATATGTTGAGTTCACTTTAAAAATAACACGTACTGTTATAAAGTTATGGTTGCATTAGTGTCATGGGCGTCTCACATTTTTTAACCTTTATTTTCCAGGTTCCCTCTACAGGACCAGGATCGGCTGCAGCAGTGGCTGAAGAACATGGGACAAGAGAACTGGACTCCCTCTCGACATCAGTATATTTGTAATGAACATTTCGAACCTTCGTGTTTCAAGGTCAGATGGGGAATTCGTTACCTTGAGACTGACGCGGTGCCAACAATTTTCCACGAGGTAAACATTGTAACTATATATATATATATATATATATATACACACACACACACACACACACACACACACACAATCATTGTCATGTTTCATCAAGTTTCATCAAGTCAACCTTTTTAGGGAAACATCTGGCAACCTTGAATTTACTCTTGTGTTTCCAAATGACAAGACAAATGAGTGTAATTCTGTCTCTGACTCAAGTAGTTGTTTTTAATGAGTTTGGTGCTTTAGTGTGTATAATTAAAGGTCATTTACAAGTAGGAGAAATTAATTTAATTTAAAAAAAGATTAGACTAGATTAAACTCCAGCTCTGGTGAAGTTGTCATGTTGCAGCAGCAGCAAGGGCAGAGGTTAAATAGACAGGATAAAAAAAACAGGATAAAACCAGGATCTTTTAAATGTAAAAAATGACAATAATAAAAATATAATAACACTGTCCATAATAAAACAGAAACCTTTGCTTGCTTCTAGAAACGCAAAGCCATGGATGAACCTGAGAAGGAGGCGAAGCGGCTTCGAACAGCTTCAGACTGCAAACAAAGCCAGACAGTGTCAGATGACGGAATGACAGTTGTCGACGCTGTTCAGGCTGAAAACACACTGCACACAGTAAACCTGTATGAGATCACAGCGGACTCATCGCAGAGGTCTGAAACCAGTCTGCCAGAGTTAAGTGTTGATGGGTACTCTGTGATGTTCGCATCAGCACATGGTTTTGAAATCGGGGGAAAATTACCTGCAAAGTTTTTCCAGAGAGAAAACAATGTCAAAAGTTGTGGAGAGACCACAGAGGTAGTACTGGTGGCTGAGTGTCCTGTCATGGACAGGCAAGAGGAGCTCCTGAACGTAAACACTGTTGCCATTTTGACACCACGCCACGAGGGGTTTACAAACAACTCTACCCTTAGAGATGAGACAGTGGTCCACCTGGAGGCGGAAGGTCTGACCCCTTCATCAGAGGAGTTCCTTGACCTCCAACAAGCCTACACCACCCAAGTCATCGCCTATTTTGAGACAATACCAAACGTCTTCCCCAGTGAAACATCGACCTGGTTTGCGTTTCCTCCAGATACAGTGCTGTCGTCGGCTCTAAGCCCTAAGCCCATCCCATCCACAGTGCCAATAGTGTCTAAACACACTCCGTCGTCACAGACGTCTGTGGTCGTGAAGGGGGAAGGACTGGAATCAAATGGGGGGAATGGAGATGATGGTGAATCAGACGAAGATAGTATGGAGTCGGAGGATCATCAGCTGGAGGAGCACAGGTGAGTGGTGAATGAACTTTCATATGAATAAGCCCCGTGGTGGACACACATAATAAAAGATGTTTCGTTAAGGTAACGAATCTGAACTTCTAAAATCTAAAATATATTATGACATAATAATATAATGTAATTGATTTTCCCTGTTGCTGGAGTTAATTAATCATGTTGTTTTTTTTTTTATATCGCCACATCTGGTAATATATAATTTCGGTCTTTCATGGCTGTGGAAATTAAAGTTATTCTATATTTTATTCTATAATTTATTAGAGTCTCTGAGTTTCTATTAAATAATAAATAACATTAAACGTTTCTTCAAAAATACCTAAATAACTCCTCATTCCAGCTTTTTACTGATATTTCTGCTTTTATTTTTCATGGGCAGCTACCATAAGAACAGTTTGAATAAGCAGCAGCTGGAGACTGTGGTGGTTGAGCTGCAGAAGAAGGTTAAAGTTCTGCAGCAGAGACACCGTCAACATGTGGAAAAGCTTATGGGTCTGGAAAACACGGTCAGCCAGCTGAGGCAAAACAATCTGCTGAATGAGGAGCGGCTTCAACTGCTGGAGATGGTACAGGCTTCTGGTTTGGTTTCACCCTGCAGTTCTTTATAGTTGTCTTGGTGAAGTACAGCCGTTAAACACACTTATACTGAAGTCTTCAGTATGAAGCAACACAATTGTCTGGAAAAAAAAGAAAAACTGTGAGGTTATCATTATCTGTGAGGGAGTAGGAGGCTTTTAGTGCTTGACTCTAAAGGTGCTGACCTTAAAATCGGGTTCATTAACAAACTGATTAGTGGAAACAGTTACACTCCAGACATTTGTATTGAATTATATTTTTCATATATGGCCGCGAGATGTGACATATTACATGTAAAAATATTATTGAAAAAATAGAAGAGAAAAGGGATTTGTTGGTGCTGTCACTAAGCAGGAGGAGGAGTAAAAATTGGTCAAACAATATTTACAACATTTATTCAGTGCAGATTAAAGCTGGCAGAGATAAAGCAAAATATTAAAAAAAAAACAGGCACTTTAGCTTAGCATAAATGATTATACTTGACCACATTGTGCCAAGTAGTAAATTCTCACAGCCAATCGTAGATATGGGAGTAAACATTTTTTATGGCATACTCAATGGAAAATCTTGTGAGGGTGGAAAAAGAGTACCAAGGAGATTTAAAAAAAAAACAAAACAAAAAAAACAACCTTTAAGCAGTCAGGAGCACACTTTTATACTTTTTAATTGGTTAAATGTCCTTTTAAGGATATCTATACCAAAAAATATGAAGTTCTGAATAATCTTTATTGTGAAACAGGTTTGTTTTCGTCTGCTCTGTTGTGAATGTGCAGCGGTTGGTAGTGTTGTCAGTTGACACCTTTCCTTTTCCCCCATTTATCACCAGGCCTACGTGCAGACGAGCACGGCCTTGACTGATGCAGGTGAGACAGTGGCCATCATCTATGACGAGGACGCCGCCGCGTACCTGACTGCACTCCACTGACCGATGCACACCTCGGTCCAGCCGTGAGGCTCCGGTGGGAACAGAGCATCGGTGCTTTTCTGTCGTGCCTTGAAAAATAATCAAATGTGACAAATGTCGGTTGTAAACCGAGCACTACTTAATTGCCCTTTGTTAAAGATACGTAGATCTGTGGATGGATGTTGGTGTGGTGGCGGGGCCGACATGTTTTCAATAATGAATGTATTGTATTAATGAAAGGTTATGGGTGACCCTCTTTCAACCAGCCGTTTTCGGTTGAAAAGGTTGAAAAGGTCTCCGGTTATGGGTAATCTTTGTTTTATGGCTGCTAGAAATTAAGGAAATGAAAAGCAGCCGTTGTACAACATGATGATAAATAAAAGTTTTGTTTATTGTTGACACTCTTAACTGTCACACCAACACCATGAGGGAACACAGTGGTGACACAATCTTCCATTAGTCCAGTAGTTTCCATACCACTGGGCTAACATCGTTTGTAGATAAAACTGCTGTTGAGCCCCCCCATGTGGACACATTCACAGGTATTAATTCAAATCACTGATATTCCTACGATTTTGCTGCTATTCTCATCAAATAAAATAAAATTTGGAAATCATGTTTTTTTCCATTTGTAGGACTATTTTAAAAAAATTGAACTTGAGCCTTCACCCAGATTAAACAGGAAAGTTGGAACACTTGTTTCATGTCATTATTAGTTCAATATTTACACAACAAAGCTAACAAAAGCTCAGTTTGTTCAAAAAGAAGTCACTTGAAATATTCCATGTATTTTTTAGTAACAATTCGTTTTTACATGCAGCAAGAAATACTGCAATAAAAGCTTCTCGGTGCATCTTAATAGGTTCAAACTATTGTGTGTGTAGTCACCCCTGCTGTAAAACCACTGTTACTGACTTATAGTTGTGAGATCAGATCAACCCTGTCGGCGTACTGATAACTGGCCTTTTATCTTCACTGGTATACAGTTCCACCGCTATCAACTTTGTACCCGTCACCAGCCTGAACGAGTTGCCCATATGCCAATGTCCTGAAGAAGCTTAGCTTGGAATAAAAAATACCAGCTGCCCCTTAATCCACACACTTGTTTTGAGAAAATTATTATTTTTGTTATAATACAATGATATAATACAACATAAACATTGTCATTTATCAGTGTATTTATGAATATAATTAATACATTTGGGTAAAAAGGGTTTGAGGATTTTATTGCCAAAAGCCTGCGTTCCTTGGCTTCACCAAACTTTGTATCCACTAGGTGGCATCAGAGATAGTCACTCCCACAGGTCATGACTAACAGAGGACTGTGAATGTAATGTTAAAGAGTTGGTCGATTGAAAGGACAGTTAAGAATGCTGTCACGTCTTCCTGAGCAACTGGTTTCTCACCTTTAACACGGAAATATTCTGTTTAAACCTGTTAGATCAACAGGTTTCTGCACATTTCAAGTAAATGTGTGTCTTTATTGTAGATGACATTCAATAATCAAAGATGTAACCCAGGACCTTTAGGGCTGTAAAACTATAGTTTGTATTTATATTTGTATTTGCTTTAGAAAACATTATGGTAACTGTCAGGCCGCCCCCCCCCCCCTTAAAACATCACTATATTTTTGTTCTTTTTCTAGTAGAATAAACTTTTTGATTCAGTTTACAAGATTCAACATTTGTTCTGCAAATGCACTCAGAAATAGTGGAGAGAATGAAGCCGGAGCCTGCTGATATTCCTGTTCTAAATAAATGAACCCCAGTTCTGTTAACCTTTCCTTCCTCAACAGCCAATATGTTCTGATGACTGACTAAACAAGACACGTATGTACAAAAAGCATCAAAGACAGGCAAACGCTGATTCCTTTTATCTTAAAGGCCAAAAGTGAAGAAATAGTAAATGCTTACTATTTGCCTATTTCAGCACAATAACAACAAGGAAGAAAGGAAAACAAGTGCATCAACTCTGCTTTATTGTCGGTCTCCCGTCCAGATGAATCATGCTCCCAACCATCAGCACAAAGCCAGACAAGCACATCCTGAAACCCTGGTGGGACGTCTTCACCGACTACATCTCAGTGTTTATGATGATCATCGCTGTCTTTGGTATTTATCTGCAAGTCACACGTGAGAGCATGACCTGTCTGCCCTGCAAGTGGGTGAACATCAAGCAATGCAAGGCCCTGGCCACCACAAACATAACCATGGTTTATCAGAAACATCGCATAGCTTCGCGCAACAAATACAGCAGTGCCTTCTGCTACGAGAAGAAATTACACTGGTTCGCTAAATATTTCCCCTATCTGATGTTTGTCCACACCATTGTCTTCATGGCTTGCGGCAAGTTCTTGTTCACAATTTTGAGCACAAGCTCAACATTGGAGAACTTCGTCACCATCCTTCTCAAGTGCGACGACTCCCCCTGGACAACCAGGGCTCTGTCCGAGACCATGGTGGGGGAGAGCAATCCCAAGTCTTTTGGAAAAGCCGCCGACATGAGGGACGATGGAGCGAAGCCCAGGATTGAGGCGAACGTCTTGTGCAAAAAGGACGGCGAGCAGGCGAAGGCTCTTTTTGAGAAGGTGAAGAAGTACAGAATCAAAGTGGAGAAGGGTGATACGATATACACGGTCTACATATGGCAGACCGTGGTCAAAATAACTGACATTCTCCTCATCATCATCTACCCAATCTACTACGTGGACTTCATTGAGTTCAGTTTGATATGTGAGGAAAATATCGCAGGATACAGTGCGTTTACCTGCATTTACACTTTAGCCAACTCTTACAAGATTTTGGCCTGGGCTTACATCATTCTGGGAGTGCTGTGCTTCCTGAGCTGCTTGTACACCCTCTACTGGATGTGCACTCGCTCCCTCAAATCGTACTCTTTCGAGACAACGCGGGAAGAAAGCAGCTACAGTGACATCCCCGACATGGTGAACGACTTTGCCTTCATGCTACACCTCATAGATCAATACAATCCTCTCTACACGGATCGCTTTGCTGTGTTTCTGTCAGAGGTCAGTGAGAAGAAACTGAAACAGATGAACTTGGACAACGAGTGGAAGCTGGAGAAGCTGAGTCAGCACATCACCAAAAACGTAGAGGACAAGCTGGAGCTGCATCTTTTCAAACTTGCCGGAATCCCAAACACTGTGTTTGAACTCAAAGAGCTGGAAGTGCTGAAGCTGGAGTTCATGCGTGACATATTGATACCACCCATGGTCATCCAGCTGTCAAACCTGACGGAGGTGTGGCTTTACCACACGCCGACCAAAATCGATCCTCCAGCCCTGTCCTTTCTGGGCGAAAAGCTGGGAACACTGCACGTCACGTTCACCCACATCAAGGAGATTCCCAGGTGGATGTACCACCTGAAGAACCTGCACGAGCTGCACCTTACCGGTACGCTGGGTAGTCACCTGACCTCTGTCATTGATATGCTGAGAGAGCTGAAAATGCTCAAAGTGCTTTATCTGACCAACAAACTCACCAAACTGCCCCTGGCTCTGTTAGAGGTGTGTGCGCACCTCCAGAAGCTCTCCATCAAAAACAGCGGCACCAAGCTGATGGACCTGATCAACATGAGGAAGTCCTTTTCCGTGCAATTCCTTCACTCCGTCGAGCACCTGAAGGAACTCGAGCTGATTGAATGCAACCTCGAACAGATCCCTCACGCCATTATCAGTGTCCGTGACCTGCGCGAGCTCGACCTACGGGGCAACAACCTGACCATCATAGATGCCATCATTGGCTTCCAGCACCTGAAGTGGCTGGTGTGCCTCAAACTGTGGTACAACAAGATCGTCCACATACCCATCCAGATTGGATCACTGTCCAGACTGCAGAGGCTTTATCTGAACAACAACAAGATTGAGAAAATCCCCCAAGAACTTTTCTTCTGTCAGAACTTGCGCCTCTTAGACCTGAGTCACAATATGCTGATGAGCATCAGCGCTAACGTAGGCTGCCTGCAGAGACTGCAGCACTTTGCGGTGACAGCAAACATGGTAGGAGTCGGTCGGTTTGGCTACATAGATGTAGACTTATTTGAATTTTAACACAAATGATTAGATGTCAAATGACTGACATAAATGATTTAGCCTTTAGGAACCCTTTCGGAGGCATCTTGGGTAAAAACAAAATGTAACAAAACTTTCACAAATCTCATTTACCCCTACCTACAGGTTTATATCTGACAATAGCCTGTATGTATGTTACAAAATGTTTTTTTAATTAAGGATACGTTTAAAATATTAAAAACAGCAATGCACTCAGGGCGCAACAGCCGAACCGCAATACAGCGAGGGGCGACTGTATTACTATAGTTGGTTGTTTTTGTATTTTATTCAGTAACTATGACAACAATATCAACAGCTAACTTTCTTTTCTTTTCTTTTCTTATAAATTCCATCTTCCTCTTCCTCCTCCTCCAGATTGAGACGTTGCCCCCAGAACTGTTCGACTGTAAAAAGCTCCAATCTCTTTATTTGGGGAAAAACTGCCTACTGTCGTTACCGTCAAGCATCAATAAGCTCACCCTGTTGACAGAGCTGGAGCTGAGAGGAAACCTGCTGGAGCGTCTGCCCGTGGAGCTGGGAGAGTGTTGTCTGTTGAAGCGGAGTGGTCTGTTGGTGGAGGAGAACCTGTTCAACATGCTGCCATCAGAAATCAGAGAGCAGATTTTGGACAGCTGATGACGGACAGAACATTAGTAGAATTCATGCTTCGATATTTGATGCTGGATATTCATATTAAATTCATCTTCTCATCAGAATTTAAACACATTATATTATTTGTTTTTGTGACATTAATCAAAGTCTGTCTGTCCGTCTGTGTCCTCTGCATCTGCTCTTGAACTTTTTGTTGACTACTGTCAGAAAGCTTTGCTCAAGAAGCAATGATTCCATGTCAAATTTATGGTTCAATTTGAAACGAAAGCTTGCAGAAAAAACCTCAACTAACTTGATAATGGGCTCCTCTAACAGAAAAGTGTGGATTTGGCCCATCCCTGGCTCTGAGTAAGCAGTTAAACAAAGATTGGCACATTTTCCTGGATTTGTCTTTTTTTAGTTTGAGGTGTGAAACATTTTATTTTTCAAAATAGTCAACTGGAATGTAGCAACAATCCCTTATCAACACCTCCGCAGCTGTGGCTCTGATTGTTTAGCACATGTGATGTTTGTTATGAGACTTCACAGGAATTGATTTATCTTCATATGGTTTTTGAATGTCTGTTCACTGGTAGTTTTCTGAAGCTTTCGCTGGTTAATTTTTCTTTCTTTTTTTACAATCCCTGCTATCACTGACCTCATCTCAATGTTACCTCATCTCTCCTCTTCTCATTAAGCTGCTGCACACTAACTTGTTGGACAGACACGGCCAAGGAATGTCCAGGGAGGGAGACAGGTTTAAGGGCATTTGAGTATAAATCTGTCTCTTAATTTTAACCAGAACTTTATAAATGGGTTTCTGTTCTTTGAAGAATAGGTTTTCACATGAGAAAATGCAACTCTGTGTTGTGTGTGTGTGTCCATCTGTTCTGGACTTTCTCTATGGTTTTATCCTGCAGCCAATGAGTCAGGCAATGAACAAAGAAGAAGTCACCTGACCTGAGTCAGTTACCTGGAATCTCAGACCAGCCGTAAGGCTTGAGAAATGGCAAAAAGTTACAGTAATGTTTTCATTAACCCAAATATCCTGCGTGCATTAATTCAAAAATGAGAAACCAAAAACAAAGAGTCAAACTGTCCTGTTTTTATCAGTTAAGAATCTTCAGGGAGTTTCTGTTCTCCCTCAGTAGACACTGAAAGGTTGTTATTTCAAGTGGGCTAGGAAGGGGGGTGGGGTGGGGTGAGGTCCGCTTTCTCTTTCTGACTTCAGGTGCCAGGCAACCTAACTGCCCTTCACATTCCCCGGTATCGGTCATGTGACCACAGTTTGGTCAGAGCCAGTGGACCATGACCAGGTATTTGATGAGATCTAGTTTCTACTACATCCTCTGATTTACACCGTGTTTTTACGGGAATATAATCTTTCAAACCAGAAGGAACCACTCCAGATAACAGTTTAAAAGTAAACAATTCAAAGTTTGATAAAAATTAGACTCACGTTATCTTACACAAAAGTACGTTTGAGATGTGTTGTTTTTGCTTGTGGTTGTCATAGAGAAACTGTTAGAGACAGTGTTTTAGAGGTAAAGAAATACTAATACAGTAACTAACTCTAACTAATAAAAATCATGATTATATTCCAATAGCTATTTTTTAACACATTTATTAAACAATATTTTATTCTTTTGGATATAATTTAAAAAATGCATTAATGCCATACATGTTATACAAGTAGCAGACTAATTAATTCATTTTCACAATGCACAAAGATCCTTCTTAGGCAGCATATTATTATTATTAATTATTATTAATTATTATTATTATTATTATTATTATTATTATTATTATTAATTATTATTATTATTATAATTACAGGGCAACAGTTATATTTTACAACATTTGTGTAAACATCTATAAAGACAAATTTTCCACCATTTTTTATTTTTATTTTTTTTACTTCTACATATCACACAATTGATGAGGAGTTGTTTTTATTCAAAATGTATTTTTCGTGAAGTTACTGTGACGACGACCAGACGTCGACCAGCTGTCTTCCGTTAGACGTGACACCAAGACGGGACCTGAGACACACAGTAATGTGATACGGCACCTTTCCTATTTTTACGATGAGAAGTCCATGCATTGTTTAGACCAGGAGTGACGACAAACGCTTCTCTGAAACAACACAAAGGGGTCTGACTCATGTCTTCCTAATAGAAAATGGATGATGAGTGCTTCGAGTTTGCAGGAGGGAAACTCACAAACCTGCCCACAGTAACTTCAACTGCTTTATTTTTATTATCTGCTGTCAATCTTTAACTCCCTAAAATTCCTTTCTCGCTGAGATTTTCACAGAAACATTAAAAAAAAAACTAAGTTAATTTTTATGACCTCTATATTCTATCTTGGCTTTTATCTCCAGCAAATTCTAATGGAGTGCGTCTTTGTTACATACTGTATCTCCTAAAGATGCTCAAGGCAGGCGGACCTGAAAGTGTGAGCTGGAGTAACAAAGATTATCAACCGTACTGTGCAGTTCTTCCAGGTCGGGGACGTGATGGAGCTGTGGCAAGTGGTGGATCCCAGAAACAGACACAAATGTAGCCAGACCCCACACCCTCTGGTTCAGTGTGGTGCTGAGGTGTGGAGCTCATCAGCCCAGGAGGCAGCACAGCACACACATCTTGACTGTATGGTTACAGTATTTTCACATTACCATTATGATTTGGTCTTTTTTTGTTACAGTATCCTCATTATTCTTACCATTATTATATATCATAATTATTTAAAATACTTTGTGATCTGTACTTTTTGTATAAAAAATGCATTATTTTCACAATTATATGTCAGTATTCACAGATAATTAGTTAGGTTGATGAGAAAATGTTCTAAACATCTATGAGATGAACAGTCCTACAAACCTTTAGAGGAAGATTGAAAACATTTTTTTATTCAGTAATTATTAACATCAGGAGGTTAAAAAATAAATCTATAAATAAATATGTTCTACTCCCGTGTGCTCATACTTCTCACCTCGGCCCGTTAACTGACCCTGTTGGTAATTGTTCACAGTATGTGTGGTTAAATTGCCTGGTGGAGGTAACGTGGCCTTTTGGATTGAATGTCAGGCTCGTCTTACAGAGGTGCCTGGCACCTTAATTTCAGTAACCGTTAGTTCACTGACTCACGCTGTTACACAAACCTGACTGGAAACAATAACAAGGTACAAAGTAGTGAATAATTCAAGATGAGACAAGTTTTTTTTTTATATAAAAGTTCACATTTAATGAAAAACAAAAGCAGAGGGACATAATACACAAAGACAAAAACTGTCCACGGACACTTAAAATCATTCAAAGTTCTCTGCCACGTCCTCACCCTCCGCCCCCACCTCCACCCCCACCCCACTGCACCAAAGGCTGTGTCGATTACAGTGTTATACGCAAAGGTCATGACAAGCTATTTAACATTTTCAGTATTTACAAGCACATAAAACTGTTGAGACAATGCTTTGGATACTGGTTTATCACAAAAGTGCTTTGTAATGTTGCTGACACAGCGCAGTGATGCTTCGTTGTAACAATATGGAGCTGTAAACAATAAAAAGCAAGAGATTTATTTAAAAAACAAATGATTGAGATTGAACAATTTGTATCTGTGTATGAGTGTAATATGTTTTTAAAAGTGTTTGTTCCTGTCCTTTAAAAGTAAAAATAAATCACTCTTCATACTTCCTCAGTCTCTAACACCAAACGCTCTCTAATATAACATTTCAGGAAAATTCAGTTCCATCCTTCATCTCGGAGTCTCTGTGTTCATCGGACAGATGTGCCCTCAGGCCAGTGTGGAGAGTCTCTTCTCTTCATCCATTCAAACATAGTCTTTTCTTTCCAACCCTTGGCCACCTGCAGACCGTGGAGCAGAGTAAGCCATTCTCGATGGGTTGTATCTGGTTTCACGTGGTGGACAGGAGCAGCAGAGGAGTCCGCCGCCGAGCATGAGGAGGGCAGCGCCCGCCCAGCCGATGTACAGGGCGGCCCCGAGCTCCCTGCGCTGGGCATCAGAGAGCATAGGGTTGTAGAAGTCCCTGATGATGGTGTTGGCCGTCCAGGAGACTGGAATGAGCTGCATGACTCCAGATATAATGAACAGGACACCAGAGATGATCATCACCCTCGCTTTGGAGGCTTCTTCTTCGATGCAGTTGGTGCACTTGGCCCCGGCGATGGCAACCAGCACGGCCAGGAGAGCCAACAGGATGGAGATGATGGTGAGGGCCCGGGCTGCTTGGAGATCCTGGGAAAGAGCCAACATGGAGTCGTAGACCTTGCACTGCATCTGACCAGTGCTCTGAACCACGCAGGTCATCCACAGGCCCTCCCAGATGATCTGAGCCGTTACAATGTTGCTGCCAATGAAGGCCGTCCCCCGCCCCATGGGCAGAGCACATGCCCTCGCTTTGGAGGCTTCTTCTTCGATGCAGTTGGTGCACTTGGCCCCGGCGATGGCAACCAGCACGGCCAGGAGAGCCAACAGGATGGAGATGATGGTGAGGGCCCGGGCTGCTTGGAGATCCTGGGAAAGAGCCAGCATGGAGTCGTAGACCTTGCACTGCATCTGACCAGTGCTCTGAACCACGCAGGTCATCCACAGGCCCTCCCAGATGATCTGAGCCGTTACAATGTTGCTGCCAATGAAGGCCGTCACCCGCCACATGGGCAGAGCACATGCTACAATGGCTATAATCCATCCCAAAATGCATACGCACATGCCTATCAACTCCAGTCCTGCAGACATGTTGAGACGTCTTTCTGGTCTTCTGCTGCTGCTGAAATGTGTGTTGGACCTTTGAGGAGCGCGCTGAGAAAAAAACGATCCGCAGAGGGTAAGAGTCGACCTGGTGGAGGCCCAACTGGTAATTAAGATAATTTCAGGCTTTGCATCCGCGAGGGTGTAAAGATCTGTTGCGCTGACTTTTCCTTTATAAGGCAGATCAGGTGGAGGGGGTGGAGCCGGTGGATGAGCTGACATCACTGAATGGGGAGGAAAGACCTGAGCAGGCTCAGCTTACATGACCAGCTTCCCAGTTGGTCTGACCACAAAGAGGTCCTTCACGACTGAGTTTCTGTCAGTACATCAACCAGAGGCCCAGCATACGTACGACTTACTTTACTTTTTTCATAAATACAGTTCAACAACTTTATTCGAACACGGCCTTGAGTCCAGTTGAAGGACACCTGTGTATGATTTACTGACACCTGGAGGTGTGGTTGTATATTACAATCAAATTAATAAAGTTAAACAGGGATGAAGCATTTTTGTGTCTTATTATTATTATTATTATTATTATTATTATTATTATTATTATTATTATTATTATTATTATTATTATTATTAAATTATTATTAAATATGATGTCTCTGAAAGTCTGAATGAAAACTAATTAAAAATGATTAACTATTAACAAGTGTTTTTGTTTAAACTGTTTTAAATTTGTTTTTGCTTTGGATACAAAAATAAATATTTCACAAAAGTTGAAAAATACCAACTGGATTATGAGCTTTGAATTACTATCCAACTTTTAGGGCAGGTCTCTGAAGTATTTCAGTCCATGTGTTTTCAGTTTACCCAGTTAATCTTCCATGGAATTCCAATGCAGGTAGGTCGGAAAATCTAAGATTTGGACAGATCAACAAATTAATTATCCATAAAAAGTAATTCACAGTTTACAACACTTCTGTCCAGGTGTTTTCCTGACTTTTTTATTAAATTTATTTTTTTTGTCTCTTAAAACAGGAATCTGGAGCCCAACTCCAGTCTCCTCATCATGTTATCACCTCCGTGTGGTGAAAACATTTATTTAACGTTCCGAACAAAACAAAAAAAGTCACTCACAGATTAAACACAGTTTATTTGGTCACACACACAAAAAACATTCTTTAAACTTTACAATAATAAAAATACTTTCAGTGGAAGTTTGTGAGGAATTAGAGGAGCTGCATCAAACAATGTAATTATCTTTGATGGCCTCTGATGAGTCTACCTGTCGGCGGAGTGCTCTTGAAATTCCTTCTGTCTTCCCAGAAATGCCTTTCCCTGTGTCCCCCGGCCCCTCAATGCACCCCCCTCATCAAACAAAAATGGGTCCATTGTCTAGGAGGACCAGCTCTGATAGTAGAGTGTGAGCAAACTGACAAAGCAGTGCTTCTTGTTATTGTGGACCCAACAGACATGCGGGGGAGTGGCAGGTAAATGGGTGTTGTGATAAAAACAGTGAACACACGTTTGAAAAATGTGATTTTCATTTGACAAAAGGTGAATTTGTCTTTAGTCTGGCCCATCAAAACTGTGTATTTGTCAATAAACAGACCAGTTAATGTTTCCAAAAACTGAAAAAGAAACATTGAGGTTTCAGTCTATAATGTTTTTTTAACCAAACATCAGTCTAAATTCTAAATCTAAAACAATAATAATAGAAAAAAGTGTTGCAGAAAAAAGGAGTTAAAATCTGCCTCACAGCCTCAGATGTTTTAAAACACAAAAGCAATATAAAAGGTGGATTTCACTGGTTTTCTTCATTCTACCAATAATTCATACAGTTAGGTTTATAATATACAAAAGGCAGCACCATGCCACTTACATTACCTCTGGAAGCCCCGCGGCTTCAGTGGTGACATACACTGGTGCGAACACAAAACCATCACAAAAATAAAGGTTCCTTGCAAATTCCATACAGTAGAAATAAACTAGTTAATATTAAACCGCTTGAGTTCTTGTTGTCTCCCATCAAAACGTCAGGTGCCAGTTCATACATAGTCTCTCCTGTTGATTCCGCTTGGGGCGTTGGACCTTGTTGCTGAGTACATTATCCTCGAGGGAGGCCCGTACTTCTTCTCAGGTTGTGGAGGGCAACTGGAGCAGAGGATGCCGCCTCCAAGGAGCAGGAACGCAGCTGCCGCCCAGCCCAGGTACAGAGCTGCACCGATCTCCCTCTTCTGAGCCTCAGGAATGACCGGGCTGTAGAACTCCATGACGATTGTGTGTGCAGACCATGACACAGGAATCAGCTGGGTCAGAGAGGCCAAGACGAAGGCCACACCTGCAGCGATCATCAGGCGAGCCTTGGCCGCATCCTCGTCAACACAGTTGGTGCACTTGGCCCCCATGATGGCCACGAGGACTCCCATAACACCCAACACAATGGAGATGATACTAAGAGCACGCGCCGCCTGAAGGTCAGCACTGAGGGCCAACATTGAGTCGTGGATTTTACACTGCATCTGACCAGTGCTTTGGACCACACAGTTCATCCAAATCCCTTCCCAGGTGATCTGCGCCGTGACTATGTTCACGCCAATAAAAGCCGACACTCTCCACATGGGCAACGCGCAGGACACGATGGCTGATAACCATCCCAGCACGGCGAGAATCACACCGAGTATCTCTAATCCCACCGAAGGCATATCTGCGTGACGTGACGGTCTCCTGTATTTCTGCAGACGACAGCAGTCGAGTCAATGCCTCCTGGAGAGTTCGTCGCACGATATACGCACAGCTCTCCTCTAATGCAGAAGGTGGAGTTGCGTCGTCATTGGCCAGGGAAGATATTAAAATGTCCTCCGTCCCTCCTTGTTTTAACGACATGAAAAGGCCTTGGCATGTACGTGGCCTCAGCTTAATCATTTAACTTTGGCAACTCCGGTAGCGCTGACACCTGTTTGGGTGAGGGGAAGAGTAAACAAAAGCTCTGTATCTGAGGTCTGGGCTGGTTAAAGAGTAACTGACATGTTAAAGATCTGTGGGTGAATAATTGAGAGTGAGGGACACTGGGCACACTACTGCTGCTGCTCTTATTGTTCTGGTATGGATGAAAATTGTGAAAAATTCAAGACTCAGAGCTGAACATTGACCTGCAAATAACTGGGTTTTGAAATCTGTTTCTTTTTAAAAGAAAACTACATTTGATTTGATTTTTGATTTGTTGTTAGAAGAATAATGTCAGTTAAACTTAAACTAAACTTAAACTAGGCAGTGGTGGCAGTTGATGTGAGTAAGAAATATTACAGCGTAGATTTTTTTTTTTTTAGGAGTTTCTGCTGCAGACTAGAGCAAACATTTAGTGGCATCAGGTTTAACATATGTTAGCTCTGTTGTCATGAGGAGACAGAAATTTGAAATAAGTTATCAACGAGAGCCAAGCCAAATACACTGGAAATCTCCTTCCTAAGAATAACAGGAGTAAACGACTAATCTCTGATATGGTGTGTCTTAGCAACATGTCAGCATATCCTCAACATATCCTCCGAGAAATATAAATGATGACAAAACCTGCGTTTTTATTTTCCCAGGAGATGATGTTTTCAGTATTTGGCTGGATGTGTTGCAGCTGAAACCTATTACAGTAAAAAGTCTACATTTTATTCTATTTGTACTATAAAACACCCATAAGTGAAAAAATAGGTTTAAAAGTAGGATTTTATTTTTATTAAGAACTTCAGGGGTAGTAAATCGGAAACTGTAAATAGAATTTATATATTTAAGTAGTGCCACACACACACACACACACACACACAGTCTTCTTTTCTGTTGTCGGTCACCATAGCAATAATGGTCTCCATCATTGTTTAACATAATGTCGTCTCTTAAACAGATGGCTTCTCTCTCTTAAAATGATTTGCATGAAACTTTTAAATATTTGATGCGATACAATTGGATCCAACTGCATGTAAGAAAAGGACGACTTCACCCTGCCCTTTGACCTTTCACGGTGGGAGTCGTCAGGTCTAAGGAATTCTATAATTCAAACAATAGTGACCATTTTATGAAGACAAAGTCTGATCTTGCTCTGCAGATGATTTGAAATCTATTTTTATTATGTTCTGTGAACGGTGTGTACTCTAATATAAAACAAAACCAGCTGACCTGTGATGTCCTCTCACCGTGTTGTTGTGATGACGGACAGACTGCTTTGCTACTCATGCTGAGTCATACTATCGCTGCACAAAGACAGTATGAGTCAGTAAATTCGGAGCACATTTGTCTTTAAATGTCCAAACAAGTGAGGTCAGGGGTCAGGGGTGTTATCAGTGTCCTTGTCAGGAAGGTCACAGAGCAGCAGGAGGTTTCAGCCCCTGTATCTGGTACAAAAGGTGGATCTGGACCTCGACCTTAGTAGACCAGACTGGAATCCTACCACTGCAACCCAAGTTTTTTTTTTTTTTTTTCTTTTTTTAAAATAAATTTTTTTTTTTTTTTTAAAATAAAATTTTTTTTTTTTTTTTAATTTAATTTTTTTTTTTTTTTTAAATTAAATTTTTTTTTTTTTTTTATTTTTTATTGAAATGAAATTTTATTGAAATGAAATCTTTTTATTGTTTTATAACGATTATATTTCCTCACCGTTACCCTGCAGCTGTATCTGTGTAGAAAAATACAGGTTGTAAGGGTTTTTGCATTATTTGTTGTGGGAAAAGGTTAAAGTCACACGACTCCAGTGAGTAGTGAACTGTGACCCAGTTTCTGCTGCATGCATGTGCTTGAGTAAACACACGTCTAAAAGCAGTTAGTGGACGACTGCCTGACTGGCCGCCATTTCCATGCTCTGAAGGTCAGGACTGAGATGCAGACAGAATTGGTCACAGAGTTTAAAGGTAGTTTGTTTTACCATAATGACTTGGAGTCAGTGATGTTTTGTGTTTTTTATGGATATTGTAAGGTATTGAACGGTAGTGGATTCATTTTTTAAGTTCAGCTGAGTGGATCCTCTTCTCCAGATCCATTGATATTTATTTTGACAGTTGGATTAAACACACGTCATTCATCATTGTCGCACCAAGAAAAACCTGTGGTTCGAAAATAAACACTTGGATCAAGAGAGCCATTGTTGTTAACGACAGTCAGAGTCGCATTTCCTCTTGACTTTAATCTCTGACTGAGTTTCAGTCCACCAACTGGTGAACGGTCAGCAACGAAAGCGGAACATATACGGTGATCCTCTCCAACAAGTGTTCCTTTGTTCCTTTTCATTCAATTTGAGTGAAATCAAACACCGAACTGTGTCGTGCTGCCATCACAGCTCCCCATTGGTTGGATTCAGCTGGAGCTGTGCATCTGGTCTGTTTCTGCATACCAAACTGCTGATTGTGTTACACTTAATATGAGCATCAATTTATGGCTCTTTAGTTACAAAGGTTCATCCAAAACAGGTCAGAGAAGAAGAAACGACTAAATGTATGATGATTTATTTAGAAATGTACAAAATCCAACTAAATGCATGGAGAACACAAATATAAATGCTAATCATTTAGATGAAGAAGAATCCCGACCTCTGTGAAAAACAAAACCTGTAAGGTTGTCTTACTCATACAGCTCAGTCCACTGACGATACTTTCAACTTTATCGACTACAGGTCTCTCATCAGCAGGATAATGAACTCAGAGGAACCTGGTGTTCAAACATAGTCCTTCCTGGTGTATCCATTCACTGACATGGTTTTGACAGGAGCGTAGTCCTGCCGAGGAGGCGCGAAGGCGTTGACACTCAGCGTTGTGGCCGACCTCTGAGGACATGAGCAGCAGAGAAGGACTCCCCCTAGAATGAGCAGGCAGGATGCAGCCCATCCAAAATACAAAGCGTTACCAAACTCTCTCTTCGCCGTCTCCTCCAGGAGCGGGTCATAAAAGCCAAGGACGATAGCGTGCGCCGTCCAGGACACGGCCACCAGCAGCAGCAGTCCAGCCACCACGAAGGTCACTCCCGCCGCCACCACCAACCTCGGTTTACTGTTCACATCCTGGCTACAGTTGGTGCACTTGGCACCGGCTACTGACAAACAGATGCCTACGATGCACAGCACCATGGAGACGATGACCAGAGCGCGAGCCGCCTGCAGGTCCATGGGCAGCCCCAGCATGGAGTCGTGCACCTTACAGTGCATCTGGCCTGTGCTCTGTACTGAACAGTTCATCCACAAGCCTTCCCAGATCACCTGAGAGATGACGATGTTCTGACCGATGTAGGCAGCCACCCGCCACATGGGCAGGCCGCACGCCACCATCACCCCCAGCCAACCGGCCACGGCCAGGATCATCCCGAGGATCTCCACGCCTGCAGAGTACATCGCTGGGGCTGTGGATGAAGCAGAGTTGGAGAAAGACTCTCTGCCAAGGTCTGTGTGGATAGAAGGCCTTCTGTGTCCACTGGCTCAGCCCTCCTGAGAGGAGGGCGATATCAGATCCCGTGTTAAGAGTTTTAGTGCAAGAGTAGGACAGCGAGGGAAACAGATTCTACCTTCTTTATACAGCTTGGACCGCTGAAGGTGGAGTCAGTGAAGGTGGCATCCAGTTAACCTTCAAACCACACTTGCATATATGGATACCTGTCTATATACGTGTGCTGAAGATGGGAATATAAGAGTGAATCGGTAAACCTGTTGATATAAGAAATTCTTTGTATATTTGATTTAAAAAAATCAGATTTTAAAGACTTAGTGATTAAAATATCATTCTTTGTATATTTGATTTGAAAAATCCGATTTTAAAGACTTAGTGATTAAAATATATTTAAAGGTAGGAATTTCAAAAATCACTTATTGGGCTCCTCTGATCTAGGATGCAGGTGCACCTCCCTTCCTGCAGAGGCTGCTATAAAGTCATTAGTCCCGCTGCGCCGTGCTGAGTAGACCAGCCACAATAGTAGGACATACAAGTGTCAAACCATTAACATTCAGGACACAACTAAGAACCCTAATTATTCTTTAAAATTAGTTTCAGGAAAACTTAAATTCCGTGCCGTGCGACAACCTTGAGGAAGAATAAATTCCGTGCCGTGCCGTGCGACAACCTTGAGGAAGAAGCTGAATCACCATCTGAACGCGGCGTAGGGTAAAAAAGTCACAATGGCGGCCATTGTTCCTGTTGAACATGAACAGGGCTCTTTATCAGTACGTATACTCGATGTGTTTTCCTTAAAAACCCTTAGTATTTAGTCACGTATTCCTTCAACCTGATACTACAATAAATGACAACACTGTTGAGTTTACACAGGGAACAAAATGTAAAAAAAATGTCAATATTATGAGAAAACACTGGACCGTGTGTTTACCTGATCCCACTGTTAAATTGTTGAGTTGAGTTTTTTCCAGATGTTATCACATTTATACTTTCCATCTGGTTTAAAATCCACATTTTTTTTATTATCAAGAATGACTTACCTGAGTTTAAGAAAAGCTTCTTTGTTTTAACAGCAGTGCACTGAGGTCAGCCGGCAGGTGAGTCCTCTGTCATTACAGGCTTTCCTTTATCTTACAGGGGTCACCTGGGGTCAGTGGTCAGAATGATCATCGTGTGGTTAGCCTCCTCCACAGGCACACCCACGAACACTTTCCCATCCACTGGTACACAGACAGACAACACACAAGCTCAGAGGAATGTGATCCATAAACATCCTCAGCTCAGCTCTCTCCCCCTCAGCTGTGATATTTCACTGCACTCGAAACTGATGGTACTGTGGTAGTACTAGACAAAATACTTCAAGGTGAACATTTGAGTTGTATGGTGATTATAACAGTCTTAAATATTTGTCTCTCCAGACATGAAATGACAAATATGGTGACTAATATTAACATTATCAGCCTATTATTATTATAAAAATATACATCAGGCCATGTGTATGCGACATGACAGCTGTATTGATATACATATAGCGACTCCTTTTTTACCAATGCAGTTTTTTAAAAACAATACAATTTCCCAGCAGTGACCAACATGTAAATGTCGTGTGGTGGCTGGATTTGAAACAAAACTATTTAAACCAAATCAAATCAAATAAATTGGAAATAGAAAAACACTCAGTATCAGTGGCTTATGTTACAACCCTTCAGGAAAAATACAAATAACAAAATGATGCAGACGTCACCTGTATGTCTTATCACAGCCAGGGGGAGCCACTACTGCATTGTCTAAGAATTGCAGAAAACAACATACATTAGAGACCTGACTTTCTTTTTTTTTTTTTTTACCAAATATACTTATTCTGGGGATATTTTTATATATATATATATATATAAAATCTTTCTTCAATTTAATCAATTTATCCGTTGACTTTGTTGTTGTTTTCCTTGTGACTACAGTCAAACCTTTCTAACAACGGGTCATTCTGTGTTGGTTTTTTTTCCGTCATCTTCTCTTTTGTAAGACAGTCACTGTTTACCACCGTGACTACAGGTGCACCTGACCTGCTACAACAGAGTTGTCTTATAAACACATGTAGAGACTTGCAGAGCAATCAGGATAAATATTCACCTGTTATGGGAGTGAGAACGAGTCGGGCCGGTCTCTGCTGGCCACTGCTGTGTTGTGTGAGTTAATGTTTCAGCACAGTTGGTCTTTGGATTGTTCTTAAGATGAAAACGCTGCTTTAATACAGTACTTATTCAAATAGTGGGGGGCAATGGCATGTGGCACGCCGGAAAGAAGTGTGCCGCTGCTGTAATGCTTGAATGATAAACAAGCCTCCAGTCACTAGGTGGCAGCAACTCATACAGTGGTTTGTACAGATAAGAAAATACATGTTGATAGGTTCTCATGTTGATAGTATTTCAATTCAGGGGTTGGGGGATGAAAAGAATTCTGTCCTCTAGGGCAGTGTTTCCTAAACTTTTTTTCTAAAGGAGTTTCTAAACTCCTGGGAAACATGATGCAAGACAACCCAAAAAGAATCTCTTGCAACCCACCTGAGGGTTGCGACCCAGTCTTTGGGAAACAATGCTCTAGGGCAGGCGTGGGCAAACGTTTTGACTCGCGGGCCACAATTGTCCTAAAGTTGAACATTGGGGCCGGGTCAGGAGCAGACAGATGGAGCGTTCATGTGAACTAAGATAAATGACATGTAAAAGTCATGCATTAAGTTAATTTGCTAAGATGTTTTTAATCATTTTCTACATCATCTATTGTGGAAACAAGGGTATTGCAGGGAAAACTCAGAAGTACAATGATAATATAAATAAATGATATAATTTGGAAAGTCTTGACGGGCCAGATTAAAAAGCTGAACGGGCCGCATCCGGCCCCCGGGCCTTAGTTTGCCCATGCCTGCTCTAGGGGGTATGACAGAAAATAATTACGGGCCACTGCTTGAATAGCTTTGGAGATCACCTGTTTGATCACTGATGTGTGTGAAGTTCACATCACATGGACACAGAAGTTAAAAAGGGATTCAGACAAAACAGAGAAGAGGAAGTACGTATCTCTATTACTCTTTTAAGGAAAAAAACGAACAGGCAACAAAGTTCCAAGTGGTTTCAATGTCTGTGCCAATAAGAGGAACAAAAAGTTTCTCCAAGCCTAAAATCAAATGCCCTGACACTCCCTGTTTCACAACCACTGTGTAACACTGACTGAAACTGCAGTTACATTTTCTTACCAGCCAATTCCACCCGCTCCCTCACTGAGTGTGGAATTTTATTCTGGAAGTCACCCACTGAGTTTTTAAAGTAAAAGTGAAAGAATTCTGCGTGACTAAATCAATATTATTTTAAAATACAGTTATTCATCCTTGATGACTTTATGTCATGTTTTATGTTAAAGATAAGTAAAAAAAACTTCACTCTCGTAGACTTTTGAAATCTTTCTGTTTTCATCATGTGACTCTGTGTCATGTCCGAACGTGCCTGAGTCACTGCAGAACACACAGAGATACTGACTGTGCCTACACACTGAAACTCTGGCTCTTCCTGCACAATGGCCTCAGGGCTCTGTATGATGACATCACACAGGTAACAGGTGACTCCACCGTGTGATGTATGAAACTCAATTTTGAACCCCTCACTATAACAGTTAGTAAATGTTATTTTTAGAGGTGTGATGTCACACATTTATATAAAACAACTCACGTGTTGTTGTTTCTGATTAAAAGAACAAAATGTTCCTTTGTGTAAATGTGAAATGACATATTAATATTAAAACATAAAATACCATCCAATACATTTTATTTTCATGTATTTGTTTACAAGCACAGGTTGGAATCTGTCTCACTATTCAAAAACGTTTAAACCAGTGGTTCTCAAACTGTGGTACGTGTACCACAGGAGGTACATTTTCAGTTGAATGAATCTGAAACATATCATGCACAATTAATTCAACATGTAAACATAAACATCTTTATAAACATCTCTAATAGGTAACAGCTAATAGGGAAGGCCTATGCTCAATGTTTTCTCAGGTGGTACAGAGTAGAAAAAGTTTGAGAACCACTGGTCCAAACAATTTAAATACAAATGATGCAACCAACAACTTGACTTTATCCTCCACAGTTCTAACGTCTTTCATTTATTTATGATCTTATATCTTTGTCGTCTTCTTTTGCAGTTTGATTTTACTTTTCTTTATAGATCTGAATAATGTCCCAGCCCAGAGGGTGGGGTGAGGGAGCCGTTACTGTGTGGTCTGGACCTGTCTGACGCTGCATGCTGACACTTGTCACCCAAACTCCCTCTGGCAGTTTCTCATGAACTCGACTGTCGTATCTTTGTAACTTCTATCTGCTTTGACACATCTGTCATATCTAATTTTTTTACACAAAATATAAAACATCCACTGACAACGAAACGATATCAGTGTCTGAGAAAGTTTGCTTTACAACAGTGGGGGAGATTGCATGCACTCATATAGGTTGTGTAATTGTTGAATGACCGAGGCTAGTATCTGTTTGAGGCCTGGGAGGACGAACAGATCTGGACTAATCTCACCCTGAAACCATCTCTCCTCAAAGTCTTAATTGTAAAAATTCCTCTGTGCCTCCTTGTGTGTGGAACCCAATCTCCATATCCAAGCTGAAGTAGCTTTAATGATCTTACCTTGGATAAAATAGAGGCATTATAGTCCTAACGGCACTTTTTGGCTCCAAAACACTGCCTCCATTCATTTCTGAAACAATCTGATTCCCTCTCTGCCTCTCTTTGCCCCTTCTCACTATTCCCTCGTCTTTTTTTGTGCAACAGTGTGTCAACTGGAATCACTTGGTATGGTGTTTGCCAGTCTCTTCCACCTGATGTCTGCTGACTGCTGTGGATGACTGTGGATGATTCCAGTGGGACGTGGACCGCAGACAGCGAGGGTTCTTCACACACCGTACAGAGAGAAGGCCTCATCCTCTTTGGACCTTTACGTACCAACTCAGAAAGGTCAGCTGTGTTTTCATTTCTCTTCCCTTTCGCATACATTATAACATAATTGGTGTCGTTTTTGGTGGGTGTTTTTTACTTACACCTACTACAGGCCACTGCTGCTGTGCCCTGCCTGCTTGTACTTACTTTGTTAAACCTGTAAAATGTGTTTGTAATTAAGGCCAGAAATCAAGTAAAGAAATGTCCTCTTTTTAGAACAAGTTTCCTTTGGACATTTTCTTTCCTTTCTTTCCTTTTTCCATTTTCTTTCTTTCCATGCAATGTGTATACCATGTCCAGCCAGATTCTAGATTCTAGATCTTTGCCATGCAATGTGTATACCATGTCCAGCCATATTGATGCGGAACTTTAGCTGTTTTGTTGCATATTTGGGCTGTATTTAAGCTATTTAACATTCCCTGACCTACTGCAGGTATTCTTAACGTTGGTAATTTAGTAAACTTGTTTTTTTCTGACTTAATATACACAAGGAAATCTTGAATATGTGACAGAACTCTAGCTTGGGTTTATTAGTTCTATGTGGTATGTTGATTATTGTTGTGTTAAATGGATTAATGTAATTCGGTGGTTCCCAAACTGGGGGGCGGCACCCTCAGTGGGACATGGAGCTATTTTGGTGGGCCATTGATTTGTTATTTAATTTCTTTTGGTCAGTGAGAACATGGGTATTACAGTGTTGTTGTTGTTGTTGTTTTTTAAAAAGATCAATAGTGTTTGAATTGATTTTATGTCTAATATTATGTTTAATAACCGTTTCATTAGTAGAGATGGGTTTAAAGGTAAAATAAAAACCCCAGGGAAAAGCATTTCAATACTAAGATGTTGTACCAGGTTTTTTGTGGGAAATTAGAAAAAAATAGATCATTTTCTTTCACTCCCACAGTTCATTTGCCAGCAGAGTTATATGTTTTTGAAAACCTCCCAGGTGAAACAAAGGACAGAGATCAAAGATCAAATATCAAAGACACAGGATGGAAAAAAACCCAACAAATTAAACAGAGACATCTTTGCCTTTAAATGTCTCTTTGTTAAGGTTTGCTGAAGCGAATGGCTGACTGACTTGAAAGAACTTTTTCACTGTTTGATTTTTTTTACTAGGTTATGCAGAAGTTTCCAGGCTACGAAAACATTTAGATTTAACATTAAAATGCTAAGATCTTTTGAGCCTGTGCCGTTCCATACTCATACACACTTCAATATCAATTCAAATAACACAAAAAAAAAAAAAAAAATCACCCAATGTGGCCAATGTCATTATTTCCAGGGTTTGGTTTCATGGTACTTGAACAGTCTGCACAGTTTAATGAGTCATTCTACCACTGTTTCACCAAAAAAAAAAAAAAAAAATCCCAACATGATGACACATGCCGAGTGCTGGGAGCGGGGGGTTGAGTTTTGTCACCACTTCATCTGTGTGACTGTGTGTGTTTGTGTGTGTACGTTGTATGAGTCAAGCCCCTCCCAGACCAACTGTATATTAAGACCTGGTACAACCTCACCTCAACGCTTATTTTTCAGGATCTCTCGAGCACAACTGAGCTGACTTTTAGACAAATCCCCCTGTTTAACCCTTACAGTAGAGGCTTTTATAGTGGACATGGCATCAGCAGGGCTTCAGTTGTTGGGCATTGCCCTGTGCATCATCGGCTGGATTGGAGTCATTGTCACCTGTGCGTTGCCACAGTGGAAAGTGACGGCGTTCGTTGGTCAGAACATCGTCACCGCTCAAACAACCTGGGAGGGCATTTGGATGACCTGCGTGGTCCAGAGCACGGGCCAGATGCAGTGCAAGGTCTATGATTCAATGCTGGCCCTCTCAAATGATCTTCAGGCCGCCCGTGCCCTCGTCATCATCTCCATCTTGGTGGGCATTATTGGCATACTCCTCGCCATCGCAGGGGGCAAGTGCACCAACTGTGTGGAAGACGAAAGCCCAAAAGCCAAAATCAGCATTGCGGCCGGAGTCATCTTCATCATTGCTGGAGTTATGTGCCTGATTCCTGTGTCCTGGACGGCCAACGGTCTCATTAAGGATTTCTACAACCCAATCATGATGGGCTCCCAGAAGAGGGAGCTGGGGGCTGCACTCTTCATTGGCTGGGGGGCCTCTGGGCTTCTCATTCTGGGAGGTGCATTACTTTGCGCCAACTGCCCTCCCAAGGACAACTACTCTGCCAAGTATTCAGCTGCCCGTTCAACTGGACCAAAGGACTACGTCTGAGGAGGTGACGTGGAGCAGGAGAGCAGGAGGAGAGAGAGGAGACTGAGAAAAGACTTGTGTCAAACACCATGTGGTCCAGTAAAACTACTCCATGTTTTCACATCTTGTTACATTTTGAATTTCAAAAGTTTTTTGTTGACTGTACAGTGTTTTGATGTAGAATGACAGACGTTATGAATTGTTGAATCCCGTGTGGACCACACCCAAGCAACGGCTCCTGTGGATGAGGCTCATGAAAAGTTGATGTACTTTTTGCTTTGGAATTAATATTGTTGTCCTTCTTTTAACATATCATTTCAATTTCAATTATTTTTATTCGACTGTCGTGAAACTATAAATAAAGTGTTTTTTATGTTAAAGGTGAATATCACGTTGACTCTTTTTTTAATCTTCTTTATTTGTTTAAAATGAAATTACATTTTTTTATTCATATTCATTATGCCTTTAAGTGACAGGGCTTAAGTTTATTGGACAGAAAAAAGAAAAAATTCATAAACAATAATACTTTCATTTTAAAAAATTAAGTAATATTTTTTTAAATAAAAAAGAGGAAATACAAATGCAAATATGCACAGAGCAAGCAACTGCATATGAGAGGTGAGCACACTGGTAAACAAACACCTTCTAGCATAAGTTCAGGCCTGTTTACTGGATAAGTTCACGTCAACAGAGGTGTGTCATAATCACTCCAACACTGCCCCCCTATGGTCAGGAAAGCCACTGTGATTCCTGAAGTTATCTTGCGTCAGTAAAACTACTGAAGCTTTTTTGTGCTTTTGCCTTAAATAAATTCAGGTTTGTGTGCACTACCAAATTTTAGATTTAACCTAACTTTAACTATTTTTTTGCATTTTCAGAAAGTAACGTCTATTAGCCAACCCGTATATTTCCTGTTCTTCAAGTCTATTAGCCAACCCGTATATTTCCTGACATTGGAATATGGATTTCTGAGATGTCAGCACCCATAAAGGTCACAGGATCTCTGTTTGTGTGTAAACTTCTCTCGGCCAATAGGAGCAGACTACTGTGGTTTCACATACCCTCATTTCTCAGCGCTTTCTCCTTTGACAGGAAACTATAAATAGAGGCTCAAACTCTTCCAACTGTCTTTCTTTCGGGGTCTAATGTCCAGCCAACACAACTGACAAGATGGTTTCTCAAGGAATTCAGATCATTGGTATAGCCATGGCGTTGATCGGCTGGTTAATGGTGGCGGTGGTCTGCGCCTTGCCCATGTGGAAGGTGACGGCGTTCATCGGGGCCAACATCATCACGGCGCAGACTGTCTGGCAGGGCTTGTGGATGAACTGCGTGGTGCAGAGCACGGGCCAGATGCAGTGTAAGGTGTATGACTCCATGCTGGCTCTGGCGCAGGACCTGCAGGCCGCTCGGGCCATGATCATCATCTCGATTCTGACGGGAATCTTTGGCGTGATCCTGTCCATCGCCGGGGGGAAGTGCACTAACTGTATAGAGGACGACAAATCCAAAGCCAAGGCCTGCATCCTGTCTGGAGCTTTGTTCATCGTCTCGGCGTTTCTCTGTCTTATTCCCGTCTCCTGGTCCGCCCACACCATCATCACCAATTTTTACAATCCTTTGCTGCTTGAGGCTCAGAGGTACGAGCTCGGGGCGGCATTGTACCTTGGCTGGGCTGCAGCTGCACTGTTGCTGATGGGAGGGGGGCTATTGTGCTGGAACTGCCCCCCAAAGAATCAACAACCCCGCTATGTGCCCAAATTCACACCGGTGAAGTCTGTATCCACATCAAGAGAATATGTGTGAGGTGGACTGTCATTGTCATACGGAGCCTCAAGGTCACAACAAGCGTAGTTCACATTTAGAAGTCACATGGTACTGTGTCTGAACCAGCAGTGCAGTTCAATTTTAATATGGCTAATGTGCGTTTTTTAAGACCACGCCTTTCCTCTCAGTGAACTTTTGTCTATCATTTGCATGTGTAGCTGCTTTTCCACGTCCCTGGTCTGTTGACTGCCACACCCAGCGACTTCACCTGTAACGTTACTGCTGTGTTTTCATGCTGTCTGAATACCATGAGAAAGAGCCGCTTTCGCCGTTCTGTTTCTGTGCCCTGATTCTTGTAAATATTTATCCAGAGTCACATTAAAGTAGGAATTTTAAAGATTATCTGTTAGTGATGACATTTGCAGTTTCTTAAATGTATAGCTTGTTACCTGTGCATTAATGAGTTGGAACTGAGGCACTGATTTCTGTATTTGCATGAGGAGATCTTTGTAAATAAAATATTCTTAAAAGCTGTTTGTCTGCTTCCTATCATTCATTGATCTCATTCATCATCCACCTGGGACCCTGGTTGCACGCCATTTCTTGTGGCCCATATAATCGTTTTTTTAATGCACTAAATGGTTTCAAACAAACACCAGCATCCAGTCATATGACACGACAATCTGTTAATTTACTTTATTGCTGTTAAAGTTCAAATATCTTTTCTTAAAAAAGTCTTTAAAGAGACACTAAAATAATGAAATCAAACCAAATAAATGAATTCAAGTAAATTCAAATCACATCACATTCACAAAAAACTTTAATATTTTTCACATAAAATCAATTTTTTTGGAGAAACTGTGAGATCTGTTTCCCTTCCCTCCAGCTGCATCGGCTGTGTGGTTTAATCAGTGTCATCACATCCACCTGTGTCTCCGTCATTAGTCTCACACCCGTCACCTGGTGCCCTGGGTATATATACACCTCTCTCCCTCACTCTGTCTGGTTGTAATGTTGTTCTGTGTCTGATTTGTGGGGGTTTGTGGTTATGTTTCCTGTCGGCTGTTTCTTGTCGGGTGTTTGTGGTCTGTGGTTGATGCCTTGTCTTCCTGTTGTCGGGTGTTTGTGGTCTGTGGTTGATGCCTTGTCTTCCTGTGACTCAGTGAGTTTTGTGATTTTTGCACGACAGTCTTCCTCGTGGTGCATTCAGGTCCTGCCTGCGTCCTCTCATGTCGACCATAACAGACACATTAAAAAATACTTTTTCTAAATGTGCAGAAGTAGAACTCATTTCAACATTATAAAAGATTCAATGGTTATTCAAAACAGTTTAGAGATGTGGAAGATCCAAAACAGACAAACAACTGAGTAGACTATAGTAATAATTAATAATATACTTTTATTATTCCATAATTTCCCAAAGGGAACCCCTGAGGGATTGATTAAAGCTCTATCCATCTATCTATGTTAATTAAAAAATAAAAAGTTTTTGGCATAACCAAATGCTTAGTCCTCCCACCAAGTTTCAAATGAATTATTTAATTTTTTTTTATGTATTCTGCTGAGGTAAAAACAAACAGGTTTCGGTGAGGAAATGTGATAAGAATCTCCAGCCTGGTCAGCTGCCTCTAAGCAAACATTTGTCATCACGGAGGAAATGTCCCAGTCAACATAGTTGTTGGAGTCAATGAAACAGAACAAGTCAACAGGGTGGAAAGTGTGGTCTGTTTAAATAACAGTGGTCGATGGTGAAACACACACCGTCTCCTTCCACATTCACAGAGAATTGAATTTGTTGATTCCAATTTCATAACAACAAAAAACAACCTTATCCTTAAACTTCAAAACAGCTTTGAAATTGTTTAATATGTCACTTTTTAATGCCAGGCAGACGGCAGCCTTTTGTTGGGCCTTTGATTGGATTAGAACATCAACAGATAACCAACAATCAAGCAGAGAGAACAGACACTGACAGTTTCACTAAATATTTAAAATAAATGTGATCGTGTTTCAGGGATTATCAAACTTTATTTTCATTTGAATGCAAATATTTTTGTTGGTTTCAGGGAATTTAAAGTGGACAATTGTTTCTGGCTCCGCTCCTGAGTCTCATTTCTCTGTAAATCATATATGGGAGCTTGTTTTTCCAACACAATAGTAAGACGGTGTTTAAAATGCGTGCCACTCCTCTATCGCTGCAGGAGGAGGAATCTTGTCAGACTAGAAGAACTCACCTGACGGTCGGCCAGCCTCACTCCTCCTCCACTTGTATGTTCACCGAGGGAGAAGGAAGAAAGAACAAACAGAGTACTACTTCGGAACACTGCTCACTCCTGCCTTTTCACCATGGGGAGGATTGGAAAGGAAATAGCAGCTCAGATTATCAGCTTTATTGGCCTTGTTGGGGTGTCAGTCACCTGTGGCATCCCAATGTGGAGGGTGACGACCTACATCGGTGCCAACATCGTGACTGGTCAGGTTGTGTGGGATGGCCTGTGGATGAACTGTGTAATGCAGAGCACGGGTCAGATGCAGTGCAAGCTGAACGAGTCTTTGATGAGACTGACCCCAGATCTGCAGGCCGCCCGAGCGCTGGTCATCATCTCTCTGGTCTGTGGCGGCATTGGATTCATCGTCTCCTTCATCGGAGCCAAGTGTACCAGCAGTCTGAAGAAAGACTCTTCAAAAGCCATAGTGGTCATTATAGGAGGTTGTCTGATCATTGTCGCCGGCATCTTGGTTCTGATTCCAGTTTGCTGGTCTGCGACCATCACCATCACAGACTTCATGAGTGCCCTAACTCTTCAGACACAGAAAAGAGAAATAGGAGCTTCCATCTACATTGGCTGGGCCTCCGCCGGCATTCTCCTGGTTGGTGGAATCATCCTGACCACTTCTTGTCCGCCTCAAAGGCAAATGTATGGATACCCAGGCTACCCAGGAGCACCGATGTACCCTTATGCGGGTTCCGTGGCAAACCAGGCAACATACGGACCTGTATACGCCCCTGCAGGCAGCCAAGTGTACACATCAACAGGGACATATGTCCCCGCCAAACCGTATGCAGCACCAAGTGCATACGCTGGACAGTACCTCTGAGAGCTGACAGAGCAAAGATATAAAGACTGAGCTGAGGACATTTTTGTACCTACAAAAACTCTGTAAAACACTTTTAAAATCATTGGTACGTATTCCAAAAGGCTGAAGAGATGAATTTACACGATAATGATATTTGTAATATAAAGTAAAATTCTCTTCCTCTGTATAATAGTTGTTTTATAGCAGAAATAAGGTGTGAATATCACTGAGGCTGTATTGTTTTTAACACACATGTATGTATAGCAGTTACTATTTATTTCCTGTCATGCACAGACTCTTTTGTAAATATTGATGATGTCTTTTGCTGTGATGTGACTTTATTTTTGAGACTCAATAAAAACTCTGGTTGTATTCTCACACTTCTGTCTGCAGACTCTGTTCCTTCATATCCCAGTCACTAATGAAATTATGCGTGTGACTGCAGTTCTTTATCAGTGGGTCTGGTTAAATCATGATTAAAATGAGTGAAAACAACTCCTCCTGTGACATTTAAGACTATTATTCAGCTCCATAAAAACTCACTGCATCTGATCAAAAAAGGGTAAAATTCATATTCACAACTGATAAAATGTGCGTGCCCAGTTTCATCACCTTTTTAATCACTTCAACTGCAAATGCAGAAATAAGTACAATATAAGTTAGGCAAACAGAAAATAAAATAACAGGCTGTCATGAAAACATTTAATTCCTCGGCAGCAACTCAGAAAAGAAAAATGGTTTTGGGCCACATTACAGCTGAACATGTGCCACAGTAGGACCACGGGCCGTACTTTGGACAAGTCTAACCAGAAGATTTCATGCAGCAGTTTAACAGTGCAGTCAATTTGACCCTGATCCAAACAGTTTCATTTTCAATCCAACCAATTACAACATTTTGCTGCTAGAAATTAATTTGGAAAGACATGTTATTAAAATGGTGCCATTAGGAAATGGTAGTGTTGAGTATCAAATGAAGACAGACTGGATTGTCAAGACTTAAAAGGGTTAAAGCACAGCACCCACAGAGCAGACCTGGGATCAGAAATACAGTGGAAAGTGAAACCCCTGTACCGGCTTTGAAAAAACATAGCTCGAGTACTAATCAAAAAATATATAAATGACAGCAATAGTTTGTCCGGCTGTTTGTTTACATGTACTCTGTACTCTTTGCTCTTTGCTAAAAACCTGGAAAAGTCTAAAAACTGAAATTTTTTACTTAATCTAATTGGTCTAAACAAAAGAGACTTAAAAAAAATGTTTTTTGTATTGATTTAATCAACTCCCACACAGATCTATGATCAAAACAATCGTATATTTTGATTTGGTTGCAATGATCAATCACTTCCTGTTTGGTACTGTTTGATACTTTTATGGTCATGCTTTAAAAAACGTCATGGGTAAAACCTGGGGAAATTACCATTCGTGTCATCATCTCACATCCGGTGATACTCCCTTCAATATTAATGAGTTGGTTTTTGTGACCTGAAACCTGTGACTGGACCTGATCTTCCGGTAATTGGTCCAATCAAAGGCCGTCCACTCACACTGCATTGTTTGAATGAGGAATGTGGGGCGGGTTCACCAGCCTCATTAACATAGAGTCATCAATGCTCATCTCGTCGAAACTGCTCCTCGTCCACGTACAGATAATGTGAAGAATCTGGTTGGACAGGAAAGTTGTTTTACACATTGGTTTCAGGTCAGAGGGCAGGACATCTTGACTCCGCCTTCTTGAGAGGCTTCCTTATAACCAAGGAGGTGTGCTTCAGTCTTTATTCAACTAAATAAACCCTGCCTAGCGGACTTGCTCCTGACAAACTCACTTCACCTTTCAGCAGATTCATCATGGTGTCTATGGGACGACAAATGCTGGGCTTTGTCCTGGCCATCATTGGATTCTTGGGGACCATCATTGTGTGCGCTCTCCCCATGTGGAAGGTCACGGCCTTCATTGGAGCCAACATTGTGACGGCGCAGGTCATCTGGGAAGGCCTGTGGATGAACTGTGTCACGCAGAGTACGGGTCAGATGCAGTGTAAGATCTACGATTCCCTCCTGGCTCTACCTCAGGACCTCCAAGCTGCTCGGGCTCTCGTGGTCATCGCCATCATCGTCTCAGCCTTAGGCGTCATCCTGGGCATTGTCGGGGGCAAGTGTACCAACTTTGTGGAAGACAAATCCTCCAAAGCCAAAGTGGCCATCGCTGCAGGAATTGTCTTCATCTGTGCCGGTGTTCTCATCCTCATCCCCGTCTGCTGGTCCGCCAACACCATCATCAGGGATTTCTACAACCCCATCATGACCAACGCCCAGAGGAGAGAGTTGGGGGCCGCACTCTACATCGGCTGGGGCACAGCAGCGTTGCTCCTGCTGGGTGGCGCCCTCCTCTGCAGTTCCTGTCCACCTAAAGACAGCCCAGAATATCCAGTCAAGTACTCAGGTGCCAGATCAACAGCCACCAGCAGAGCCTACGTATAAAAGGCACAACTCTTCTTGAAAAGACTGAAACTTTTGACTTTTTCTCGAGTAACGCTTGTTTGTTGTGCGTCACCGATGGCACCACATGTTATGTTCAACCATGAAGTGTAAAGAAAGGTTATCTGGTAAATTCAGAAATGTGTGGTCGAGGCTCGGGATCCCTGAAAGAATGAGACTCTGGTGACGATGTGATGTTAAACTCCAGTAATACCAAGGACAAACTTGGGCACGATGACAAGAGTTTTTTGTTTTGAAAATGTATCTATGCTGTATGTAATTTTGTATCAAATTTACATTTGTTTTCTCCCTCAAAGGCATATCCAAGCTGGTTGTGATGTAATATAGTGTGAATGTATTGTGTAATGTTATTTACAAGCATCTTCCATGACTTTCTCAAAAGTCCTCTTTCTTTTTAATAAAACATGTACTTTACCGACACTGAAAAGTCTTGTTTTTGAAAAGCCTCACGTCAAGAGTTTAGGTCCTGTGGGAGAGAAATGCTTCACTGAATTAGAGAGAGAGAGTTTTATATATGAACAATAGGATCTGTCTTAAATTCATGGATTTTCAGTGGTTGAAAAATATAGAAACAACAAGTAAAATAATTGTCCTACAGGGACACATTTTAAATATAAATATACATTTCTGACCAGGAAGTCATTGTTACCACTGTAGTGTGAAAGAATGTCCACCAGTGAGTTGGCTGTTTGAACTGTTGCACTCCACCTTGAAGTGAAAACATAATCTTTTGATGACTCCTTTAAGAATCATTAATGACCTCCCCCTCAGGAGGAGTCCAGTCTGAAGTGTGTCTTTCTGATTGATTTGTTTTGCAAAATTTGAATCTTTAGGTTTTTTTCAACAACGTGAGTTCTGTCTGCGTTCTTGGTGTGGCTGATCAACTGGTCCGACCAGCTGTGCAGTGTTTGGTGCCAAGGCACAGCTTTGCTGAAGGACAGTGAGCTGCGTTGAGTTGGGTTTTATTTAAAAAAGATGCTTCAAATGCATAAACCGGATGCGTGTGACTCTATTTACCACCCAATGTCAGAGAGTTTTGATTAAATCTCCTTATTCCTTAACAGAGAAGCACAACATTTATCCACATATCATTTTAAAGAAAATAAAAAATTAGAATAAAATTAGTAACAGATATTTACACCTTTTTTACACACATAATTTGGACAAAAACTTGGAGTTGATGCTAATTGCAGTCTGTTGCCATTTTTGTAGTGTCAGTTTATAAAACAAAGTCGAATTACTTTACTATGAAACTGTTGTTGCTGGTGATACTGAAACAGACCTTATTACTTCAGTAACACTATAAATAGAACTTGAATGTATGTTTTCTTTCCAAAGATAACACTGTAGGGTTTCTAGGGTTCTTGTTTTATACATTTTGCAGGTGCCTATTGAATAAGAGTGTATTACAGTTTAGTTAGGACCGGAATTAGGGTCAGATCGGAGTTAGAGTAAAGATTCTCTGTGCTGTACATTGAACTACCTTCATCTGCTGCTGGGCGTCTGTTCGTCACATTTATCTTTTTCCGTGTTGACTTTTAAAACAAAAAACTAAACGCAAGTAACACTATCTTCACATCCATACACACAAATAATAATAGAAACCAAAACCGTCATTGTACTTGTGCACAAAGAATCCAGCATAGCTGGTATTCCTTGGCAGGGCCTGTGAACTAAGTGTCCTATCCGATAGCTCGGTTTGCACGCCTTCTTTTCTTCTTTCGGTGTCTGCTTCAGATGCACATTAACACCTGATCAGTGCTTCAGAGATTCTGAGAGACAAACCGAGAAACAGCGAGAGGATTATGGCTTCCATGGGACTGCAGATGGCCGGCTGTGCTTTGGCCCTTCTGGGCTGGATCGGGGTGATCATTGTCTGCGGCGCACCCATGTGGCGGGTCTCTGCATTCATAGGCAACAACATAGTCACGTCGCAGGTCATATGGGAGGGCATTTGGATGAACTGCGTGGTCCAGAGCACGGGCCAGATGCAGTGCAAGGTGTACGACTCACTGTTGGCACTGGGCACGGACCTCCAGGGGGCCCGAGCCTTGATTGTGGTTTCCATCATCACGGGGATTGCAGGACTGCTCATAGCGTTTGCTGGAGGCAAGTGCACCAACTTTGTCCAAGAGGACAGGGCCAAAGCGAGAGCCTCAGTGGCTGCCGGCGTGGTGCTGATCATCAGCGGGTTCCTCTGCCTCATCCCTGTTTCCTGGACCGCCACCATGATCATCAGGGACTTCTACAGCCCTTTGCTAGTGGATTCACAGAAGAGGGAGCTGGGGGCGTCTCTGTACATCGGCTGGGGAGCATGGGGGCTGCTGCTCCTGGGGGGTGGGCTTCTGTGTGCCAACTGTCCACCCAAAGAAGATAGAGCTCCTTCAGTGAAATACCTCCTGAACAAGTCCAGCAGCAAAGAGCTCTCCTTTCGATCCTCCTCACCAACCAAGACATATATTTGATGCTGGTTCAGACTGTCGTTGTCAGGGTCTGTGTGAGCCTTCAGGGACTTTACCAGCTGCTGGAAATAACATTACAGAAGGACAGATCACAACGAAAGAAATGTGTTTATTGTAAAATGTTTTGCTTAAAATCTGAATTATAACCTTGTAAAAAACCCAACACACAGCATGTATATAGTAATCGTTTGAAACATAGAAGCTAAAAAAAATATGTGAGATTTCTTTTGGTTTCCTTTAAATTTGTGGCAGTATTTTTTCACAATAAACAATCTACTGTTTTCTTTTCTCCCTGCCTGCTTTCATGTGTATTTATACTTAGAAAACACCTGTGGTAATTTAAATAGACAGAGAAGTGAAAGAACCTGTTGGTCAGGTTCACCTAGAGAACGAAATTCTGGGAAAAAAAAAACCACACAGTGTTCTGACGACTCTCACTTCCTGTCTGTCACCTGTTTTGGTAATGGAGCTTAATACAAAGTTTCATCTGACTTTCATCAACAAATACACTGCACGTGAGGGAATAATCCTATGTGAAGGATGCATCCGTATGTTGAGGAAATAATACCTGAGGTTTTGACTCAGACATTGAAATAAATGATTTTGCTGCAATTCTTTAAAAGAACTAACTAGATCTAACACAGAGATGGTGACTGTAAACAAAAGTGTTTACAAACCGTGAGGGTGTGGCGTTTTTCAAATCAAAGGTCATGTTACTCATTTGTAGTTGTTATTTTCTGTTTGTTTTTTGTTTGTGTTTTGTATAAAGAAATATATTACAATTCTGAATATTTTCTTAAAAAAATGCTTTTCCATTTCTTCACAACGTCCCTCACATCGTAGGTTTGTGAATGAATATTAAACAATATTTTAAGAGGACTTGAAAGTTAAACATTACAAAGAAAATTTTAAAAAATCCCTTTAATTTTTAAGCTCTTAAAAAAGCTCTTAAAAATAGTCGAAAAATAGTCGAATAATTTGTCATCGTCATGGAGTTGCCCGAACTTCCCATACATTGAGAAACAAAGAATATTGCATTTTTTTGTGTGTGCTATACTGCTACCTACTGTCCATTTGGCGTCATGGCTAGTAAAGCCCAACATTTTTGTTGGGTGACGTCACATCATTCAAGTGCTCACTTAAAAAAAAAAAACCAGGGCACTTCCCCTGTTTGTTTGTTTTTTAATACATCAAACCTATGGTGATGTTTGTCTTTGTGTTGTCTTTTTCTCAGGAGTCTACCTCCCGTCCCATGGCTCTACAGGAGCTGGGCATCAGCCTGTCCATGATAGGTGTTGCTGGGACCATCTTGATCTGCTCTCTGCCCATGTGGAAGGTGACGGCGTTCATTGGCACCCATCTGGTGGTGATGCAGGTGTTCTGGGAAGGTCTGTGGATGACTTGTGTCAGTGAGTACACAGGTCAGATGCAGTGTAAGCTCTATGACGCCTTGTTGGACCTGTCCCCGGACCTGCAGGCGGCACGAGGCCTCATCTGCATCAGCCTGGTGTTAGGATGTTTAGGGTTTCTGAGCGCCCCGCTGCTCCAACTGCCTGGGCCACCCGGCCATCAAGGCTCGCATTGTTCAGAGCTCTGGTGCCATCTTCTGCCTGGCATCGCTGACCACTGTCACCGCTGTTGCCTGGACAGCCAACTCCGTCATCACCGACTTCTACAACCCACGAGTCCCCGAGGTGCTGAAGAGAGAGCTCGGTGCTGCTATATATATAGGCTTTGTCATCTCTGGCCTACTTTTCTGTGGGGGCGCCATTCTGTGCATTAGCTGCCCTCCACAGAGGGCCAGGTACAGCAGCAGCAGATACACACATGCCAGGAGCTCCCCTCAGAGCAGCTACGCCATCAAGAACTACGTCTGAAGAGAATGAATAAATTGGCCCAGTTAGAGCTAAGGAGGAACATAACATATCAATGATCATTTTAATGTATGTAAAGAGACTTGAACATGTAGTCAGTGACACGAGCATGTGTTTCAGAGAACTGCAGTATACTCTGCCTGCTTCAGCTGAGGATATGAAGGCATGTCAGGAAAATAAGAATGACGTCAGTAAACAAAAGACCCAGGGTTTGTTTGGTGTAAAGGTTTATGATAATATTAATTCAACAGAAAACCAGATTTTGTTGAACTATCTATGTGTTTTGATTCTCTGTATGTTGTTTGAAAGGAAATGCCTCTGTATCTTTTGAAATAAAACGAAAAAAGCCAAAAATGTCCAGCGTCCTGTGAGTAAACACTGTTCTTTCACTGTTTAACTAAATCATTGACGCTTGTAGTTTTTGTGGTTGCACTTAAATGTAAACAAGGTCTATTAGCATTGGTCTATTAAACAATATATTTACCATAAGTCAGTCAATATTGGTGTTTATAATAGGATAATATCGGCTGAGTTTGTAATCACTGCCATGCCTTCCTAGGAGTAAATAATGTTTTCTTAACCATAAGTTTGTGAGGAAATTATTTTCATACCCGTCCACTTGAATCGCTGCTCTACAGTAGGTAGCTCTTAAGAATGTAAGTGTTCCTCCCTCTGTGTAAACACAAACTAACATGAAACATGAAAGTTGTGTTCTGAACTGAATTACCCTCAGAAATACAGCACAAATGTCAAGCTGGGCCTGAAAATCACAGACCACAGAAGAACCATTATAATCCTCTGTGTTAGAAGCTGGGGGAGTGACAGTGATTGTTTTGAAACCATGGCAGAAAAAAAAAACAGATGGATTTCCCTGCTCTCCACCTAGCTGCAGTCTTTTCAAGAATACCACAGAACTGGTTTCCCTCTCTTGATGAGACATGCGAAAGACACACACACACACACACATCCATCCTCAGATGTCTTTGTCTGACGCATGCTCTTCACACACACACTAAATAACACCATTTCCCAGTTTGCTCAGCTGCCAGCTGTTTCTCGTCAGGCAGTCGGGCCTGCAGTAAAGAAAAGAAGTCAGACTGGAATTATGAACCGGCAGCTGGAGCTTGCTGCACTGGGTCTGGCCTTCACCGGGTGGCTTTGTGCTACAATAACACGATGCCAAGCCCTCTGGACGGTGAGTGGCACGCTGGACAACACCACAGCAACTCTGCCAGCTTACTGGGACGGGGTGTGGCTGGAGTGGAATCACTGGGACTTGGCCCACGATGGCAGCCTTCACTGCTCCTTCTATCAGGCTCTCATGACTCTTTCTGGAAGTTTCCGGACATGGAAGGCTCTGATTAATGCAGCCATCGGAGCAGGGGCGTTTGCTATTGCGATCTGTGGAGTGGGAACAGTGTGGTTCCCAACACGTGGCCAGGTCAAAGTGTTTTCTGGCGTCCTCTTTGTTTTGTCTGGGTTTGTGCTGTTGGTTCCCATAGCCTGGACGTGTCATCACAGCGGTCAGCCGCTGGAGGGGGCTGTTCTGCTGAGAAGAGACTGGGGACCTGCGCTTTACCTCGGTTGGATCTCTATTGTTTTGATGGTGGTCGGTGGCGTGTACCTAACCACCAGATGGCCCACTGTGGACCGGCAGCCACAGCAGCCCACAGAGGGGAGTTACCCAACAATGGAGGACGAGTCCAGTCACCCTCTGAGCAGAATCCACAGAACTGTGTTCACCAGCAGTCAGTATGAACGATCACAGGCTGTGTGAGAGAACAAAGTGGGAGTGAAGGTTCTGGATAAGTTGAAACTACAGGTGAAACACTTCATGCAAGTGTTGAAACAAGACAAAACAGAAACTGAACTTCAGAAAGCTTTTAATTAAAAAAAAAAAAGTGGCTTGAGTAGGACTTACAAAAGTTTATTTTGTTTCACTTGGAGAAATGCTCATGATTAAACAATTTTCCGCTTAGTTCTCATAACTGATACTTTACTTTTGTGTTTCAGTTTTAACAGTTCTGTTTGTTACTGCCCAACATTAACATTTTTACACTGATCGATCTTAAATGCGATAAATAAAAAATGTGAACGAGCAAACAATGAAAGCTAAGCTTCATTATGTACCTGTGTTGCACTTTACTGGTGTAGTTTCATATTACATTTATTTTAATGGGTTTTTAACATAACTCTTTTTAATTGAACTGTACTTCTCTGCGGAAAGGACACTGGAATAAAAGCACTGAAATGAGTTGTTTTGAACCAAAACTGACTTGGGAATGGAACACGATAATGTGTATTAGCCTTGGAGCACTTGAGTTCACTAAGTGATCAGAGATTTTAAATTAAATATGTTTGGTTTGGTGTTACTGCTTGTTATTTTTATTTACATGTTACCGGCGTTATGACGTTTGAATGTTTGCACTACTGTATGTGTATGTGACCGAAAAATAAACCTGTGGATTGAATGATACATTTTGCCAAAAAGATTCAGTTTTTACAGAAATGACAGAAAAGGATTAAATGGAAATACATTATGTGTTTATGACAAAACTATCACGTTGTGCTACACACCATAGACTCTCTTTGTAAAACATAAAAAAATACTGAAATGCTTCAAATTGTTTTTGATAAATATTTATTTTAAAAATACAATACAAATTGTTTTTGATAAATATTTATTTTCCAGAAGAGCAACATAATTAATTACTGTATGAGAAAATATAAATTATTGTGTTATGGAACTATTCATACACTTGGGATACTGTGACACAGCACAGCACTTTCCGGCAGAAAGACCAAAATGTCTGATAGAGATGTATTAAAAGCCATTCACTGAATTGCAAATTAAGGTGAAAATGATCCGAAAACATTTTACATAAACAGCAAATGCAAGCTTTGCAATGAGAGAAGTTTTCAAATATTACGTTTGTAAAATCATTATTAATAAAAATCAAGAATATATATTCTCTCTATTGGATCCGCGGTTTTGTGCCTTTGTGAAGCATGTAAGTCCTGACTGGGGTTATTAAAATTTCTCATCTCCCTCCTCCACGTCCTTCAGACTGAGAACTTCCAGAGTGCCACGGCCTTTGGTCTCACAGCGAATCAGCTCATCAATTTCCCTGTAGCAGCCCGGATCGACCAGACACACCTGGGAAGGAGGACAGCAGAATAATCGATAAAAAAGAAGAAATAGATTCCCTTGCTATCACATTAGAAGTAAAATATTAATCATATTAGTCATTAACAGTCCTCCATACGGCTCACCATTTCCAGCTCCTCGTCGAAGTCTTCACTCTCCACGACCTGCAAAAGAGGTTTCAGCTTGTCCTTAAGCCTCTTGCCTTCTTTGGCTGGCAACACCAACCTCAGTCTCATGTGGGCCCTCTGGATCTCCATGGTTTCTTTTAGCTGCCGGATCACTTCCAGGGCCTAGGGTAAGGTTATATATACAGCAGTTGTCACGGCTGGTTTGAAGATCTTAATGTTGAATATTCTATATATCTATTGTGGGCTATTTGAATACCACTCTAGGGAAGAAAAATGCACATGCGTCTTCTCACCTGCTGCTTAGTGCTTTTATTGGCCTTGACAGAGTAGTGAATGTCTTTCATAGCCCGTTCAATCAGATTGACTGTGTAGGGTCTCTTCGTGTCAGGGTTGACGCATTTCTCTGCCACTATCGTTGCAATATCTCTAAACATTGTCTCCAGCTGACTCTGCCTCTCCTTGTCCGACACCTGAAGTTCTCCTTTGGCAAGAATCTGTCCATCGTACAATTACAGACAACACCATGAGTATTATACAACAACAATGCGGTCAAAAACAGAGACAAGGCAAACTGATAGGAAAACTATTGTTACCTGTTTACATATATCTGTCAGATTATCTGTCCCGAAGGCTTTTGTCAGATCGTCCTTCTTTGCCACCTGTCCCTTTGACACATTGACGAAAACTGAGTTTGTCTGCAAAACTTCATCCAGGTCTTTCTCTCTAAAAGAAACCACATTGTAGCGGCATCAGGCACAACAATCGACATTCATAGGTAAAAAAAATCGCCCAACTGGCGCAGGTTTTCATTTAACATATAACATCATTAAACGAGCTATCGAGTAAAGTCATCCAAACTCTCATACTTACGCTCCTGATCTCCAGCTCATAACTTTATTCTTGTAACAGGCGATTTCAAACCGCTTTCCTCCCTTTTTCATCCTCACCACCGCCACGTTTGTGAGTCTTATTTGATTTGTTGGCGTGAATATCGACATCTTTGTGTTTAACAGGACTTAAAATCCCGACCGAGCTGCGTAGTGTTTTCTTGCTGCGACAAGGGAGAGATCCAAGTACGTCTGTAATGTGGGCACCCTCGGAAACAACCATGCCTGACACTAGTTCCGCGTTTATGTCAAACTGTTTTATTTATTCATGTAAATTGTATAATTTTATTGATTCATATATTTATTTTCTAACCAGGCTAACTTCATATAAAATAACAATTTTATACAATTTAAATTTACGCCATATCAAAAATCAATAAAAGCGTAAATTATTTGCTTGTCGAATTACATTTATCATAGTACGTATCTCTGTGAAAATGTTTTTGTTTTTACATTAATGGGTAATAATTGTCACACCTAGAGCTACTTGCTCGATAATAAAAGGAACAACAATTCCCGTCATGCTCAGCGATTATACAGCATGGTTGCACACAACATTAGATGGTAGATAACTGCACAGTGTACTGTGTACAATTCGCAAAAACGATGATTCATTTGCTTTGTATTATATTTTTATCAAGTCGCGTTTTTGCAACGGATACTAAGGGTAAGCCTCTTTAAATATTGACGGACTACAACATATAGTTATTTCATGTTGTAGACTACGATGCTAGCATTATTAGCATGATTAACTATTTGGGTAAAGGACTCCATATTAACTCCTGCCAGTGTGCAACATTAAAGTTGTATTCTTGTTATCTTGTTACTTGTTGTTTATCATTAGCAAAATCAATTTACCACTGTAATGCATCTATATCAACGTAGTGACGTTGGGTAACGTCTAAATTCAATCATGTAATTGGAAAGGAGAGTGAAGCAAGTTTAACGCTTGGTTTCCCTCTAGCATCCCAGAATGAGTACAGCATCACCGAGACATACTTCATGTCCATATGGAACAAGAGACTTTACTTGTACACACTGGCAGCCCTCGTCTTTGGCGCTTGGTTTTTACTGAAGGCTTTATGGAAAAAGGTAAGCTTACCAACCAGTCAGACTCGAATTGCCACTTTTAGACATTTTGAGTTTTGAACGTGTAAACTTTTGCATCATTCTTTTAGAAAAGTCTGAAGAATGTCGACTCTGGTGTCTACAAAGCAGTGAAGAACAACGAGCAGCCCCACACAGACAAAGTAGTTCATGTGTCAGGAGTTAAAATCTTCTATGGTTCACAGACTGGGACAGCAAAGGTAGATGACACCTCACACCTTTATGGCAACTGGAATGATACGTTTCAGTCTAATGACTCAAGCTAGTAACCATTCTCAAATGTAAGAGAAGCATCAGTTGACATTTCTTTCTTTGATTAGGTCTTTGCACAAGAGTTGTCAGAAGAGGTGAAGACTTTGGGGATAACGTCGGATGTGATCGACATGAAAGACTATGATCCAGATGATAGACTCGCTGATGAGGTAAACCTTTATTATGACAGACTTTGTGTATGTGTGCTGCTTTCCATTTTTATGTAATTGTGAAGAAAATGAGGTGATTCAAAATTTTACAAAAAACTTAATGTATAGGACGATAGGAAGTGGGGTTCTATAGTGTAGCGTTAAGCATGCCTGCCATGGAAGCAGAGAGCAGAGAGTCCTGGGTTAGATTCCCAGAGGAAACACATGCTTGATTGTTAATCCTCCTCTTGTAAAAATAATGGAAAATATGGCACTATGAAAACAAAACTGTTTTAAAAATAAAATCAACAGTAAAAAAAAGGACCAGAACTTTCAAAGATGCACAATGCTAATATATATAGATTTGATTTTAATGAATAAAAAATGTTGCGTAAGACATTTAGACGCACGCTTATATCATGAAAGTAAAAAAAACAAAACAAAACAAAAAAACAGTGGGACTGACAGATGTGTAAATGAAAAATAAATGCTTAGACTTTTGTACTTATAGGAAAGACATATCTGACTCACAGGCAGAGTGCTGAAGCCAACTAAGTGTACTCAGATATTGGCTCGGTCCTGACTTGGATGGTAGTAAAATCTTGACCTTGAGCACATTAATATCTGTGCCCTGTAGAGACCTGGTGATAGAACGGCAATTTTATTTTCCAATATAGGATTTGATTAGTAGTTTGGGCCAATATCACTTCAAACAGAGGTTTGTAGGCAGGGAAGTAAAAGTTGTGTTCAGCCACTACAGAAATATTCCAATAAAGACCTAATAAGAATTTATCACAATCCTGACAAAGAAATTAATCAACAAACGTTGAGCTGACAGCTCCATCTTTATTGCAAAGACAATGTAAAAATTCCTGGCATCTATTTGGAGACCACTCAGCTTCCTGGGCTGAAGGCCAATCACAGAATTTATGGTTTAAATAGAATCTTAGTCAGTGCTCTGTGGATATTCGAAAACATAACTGTGTCTGAAACGGCATAAAATAAGATATTTTTGCTGCTTCACCTGGAGTTTATGGTTAAAAAAAACATTTAAGTCTGTAATCTGTTTTGACTAAACTAATACAATATGGTGACCGCCTCAAATTATCAGTACAACAAGAAAAGCAATTTGTATTGTGTGTAAACCACTCACTCAGTGATGGTAGACTTGAAAATAAGCAGTGATTTATTGCCTCATAAAAAGCCGAGTCATCAGTCTTGTTTGCCTCAGACAGTACATTTTTACTTGTAATGTGAATACAAACAAAACAAAACAGAACAAATTTATTTTATTTAAAATGTTAATAATGGCAACAATTGATTAAGAACATGTGAAATATATATACACATATATATAAATGAGGGAAAAAATATTTCTGCAGAAAGGAAGATGGATTATGTTCATCAGTATTTTTTCTGTTTGGGCATGGTCACGGTGTAGTGCTTTGAAAGATTAATAGGAGATTGGTTTGGTCCGGCTGCAGAGAAGAAGAGAAAATGGTCACTCATTCACCAGGACACTAATATATCTGTTATTGAATGGAAGAAAAATGAAAATAAATAATCAAGACCTCAGTTTATTTCAGGATACAGTTAAACCTCATTGACCTTGAACTGAATGTTAGAGGTTAGCTGACATATTTAATTAAATCTTATTTTTCAAGTAATGAAAGAAAACAATAATTGTGAATTAAATAACACTGTGTTGACACATTTTGTCTTTTTTTATGTCTTTCCTTTTGTTTTCAGTGTACCAGTAAGTCGGTCTGTGTGTTTCTTGTGGCCACATACACGGACGGAGAGCCCACAGAAAATGCAGAATGGTTCTGCAAGTGGCTGGAAGAGGCATCCACTGATTTCAGATATGGGAAGACTTACCTCAAAGGTCTTCGATATGCTGTGTTTGGTCTCGGCAATTCTGTGTATGTTGGTCACTACAACACGGTGAGATATTACCATTCGGTTACATCCGTCACATCTCAAGTAACAGTTTTGTTAAAATCAATTTTAACTGGGATTTTTGTGTTGTTCCTTCCTTCCAGGTGGGTAAAAATGTAGACAAGTGGCTTTGGATGCTTAGTGGAATGCGGATAATGACCCGTGGAGAGGGCGACTGTAATGTGGTAAAGAGCCGTAATGGCAGCATCCAGGCCGACTTCCTGGCCTGGAAAGCGAAGTTCCTGAACCGGCTGCAATCTCTGGCCAAAGGTGAGAAGAAGAAGTGCAGCGGGGACTGCAAAACAAATGGGTCGTGTAAGAAGAAGAACAGGAAGGAAGACCAGGTGGTTGAAAAACAACAGCAGGTGGAGGAAAAGACCAGCTCTGAGGTAACGTCATATGTTACAGCGTGGACTCGCTTGGTGTCACCGCAGTCTATGAAATGATAAGTCAAATGTACTATGTGTGAAACATGTACACTATATACAGAGACAGTAGCTGTCATGTGGGTCACAGCGCAGACAGATGGCTAGTTGTCATGGCAGTGATCACCTCAGTGCCAACTCTTGCTGAGACTTCTTCCTGTCTGTCTGCGGCTAACAGACGAGGTGACATTAAGCCGGAACCACAAGAAACGGAGAAGTGAGACAATCAGACCATCGGCATAATGTAATGAATCTACTCTGAATCTCATTCAATGTATCACCGAATTCTCCTCTGTCCCACATGTTGCCAGCAGTTTCCACATGATCCGTAATAACAAAGCATCAGAAATAACCAGTCGTTTACATGGGTTTTTACCAATTCAAAATCAAGTTGATCTTCTTGGTTAGTGGTCTGTGGAAGCTGTGTCGCTTAATGAAAGTAGCTTGAATGCATCACGTAAAATAAATCTGTACTTTAAGAAATATTAAAAATGTATCAGTCACCCAAAACCCATTAGTTTTTTTATTATTTCAATTGCATTTCATTTCAGGAGGAACTAATGGAGTCGAGCAGCGATGAAGACGAGACGGGTGGCAAATCGGGATCAGTGGTGGACATGGAAGACCTGGGCAACATGATGAGCAGCGTCAGGAAAGTCAAGGTCAGCCTCCATCACACACTGAGATATTTAGTAGTTTATTATTGGAATATTTGTGTGTATTCCTTATTCTCAAAGAGGTTTGCCAGTCGTGGGGGAACTCTAAAGACTGTTGTCAAAATGTTCAAATTACATTACTTTTACCTGCTAAATTTGTAAAATGGAGAGCCATAGTGGTGCACTGTGTGTCAGAGAGTGAGAAGACTAAGCATGGACTAAATTCTGCTCCATGACTGGATGTTTAAAGTCAGCAGTCTGGGGCGTCTAGACTATTTGTTTTGTTCTCCATCAAGGTTATTTCTAACTCTTCTGCTTTTAATTTAAAACTCTGACGTCTCACCGAGCTTTTAACATTCATTAAATGAAAGTGTATTTGGTAAAAGAGGAAATGCGATGTTACTAAAGCCCGCATGGCAGATGGGTTGATAGACACCAGACCCTGACAGGCGAGAAGCAGAGGCTTGCGTAATAATGAGGACGCCCACTTCACAGACCCATAAGGAGAGAGTGACTCAAGAAAAGCAGAGAAAATAGGAGAGGGAGAAGCTGTGCTCCTTATAGGCTGGATGACAGAAGCATTAAGGGATTTTGATTGCTCTTAAGCAGAGCATTGACAAAAGACAATATCTAAAGTCCTTTTTTTAATGACTGTAGAAATGTGTGACTATGTGACAAAACATTCCCTGTCAACAAAAATCCACTAAAGGACAGAAGACAAAGTATTCTTCTCTATTATTATCTATCAAGTAACTGCTGTTTTCTGACAACAATGATGTCTTCCTTTAGCGCTGAACTATTTGGTTAAAGTCAAGTTGAGCCGTAGGACATTTTCAAATTTACTATTACTTTTCCAAAACTTTCATCAGTGTCCTTCACCAGAAAGCTCGATCGTCTAAGATTTGCGGTTTGACAAATTGACCTGTCGACGCCTCCGACAGATGAAATGAATCTGTCGCCACTTTGGAAAACCTGCTGATTGCAGTGGGGGTTTTTTAAACTCTGTATTTCTTTCTGAACTGGAAATATTACATCATAAGTTATTCTACAAATATTTTTTGTTTTAAACTTTTAAGATAAATAGAGGTTTAAAAAGTAATTAATTTGCTCTGTTGGGGAACGAGTGAAATTAATATTTTTTATTAATAACTTAATTGATTAACCTCAGATATTTTTTATTACATGTGGAGGTTTTTTGATCTGAAAATCACTAATTAATTTGTAACAAAAATCAAAACATTTTAATGCATCTTACAATGTTATCTACTGTACATATATTGACGAATAGCTAACAGTTTTCATCTTTTAAGATTATACTATAAACTCTGGTGTAATCCTTCTGAATACTTTTTTTTTTTATTTGATAAATAAATTCTCCATTCGATCACTAGGTGATGCCAGTGTCTCCTGGTTAACACAGACTTTAAAGAGCTTCTGACAGAGGACTGCAACACTTTATCTCCACTGCCCTCCTGTTATTTTCCTGTATGAGATTATTTCTGTAATTTCCATTTGGACTGCAAGAACTACGACACTGAACAAATTATGATTCACAAGTCTTTCGCCCAAATTAAAACTCGATTCTGCTCAGTCTTTAAACCTGTTTAGTGGTGGTAGCAGTGGTAGTAATAGTAATGATGGATGATGGTAAAAATTAGTGAGAAATGTATCATGCCTAGTTGCCTCATTATTTGTCGGTGTGACTTTTGTCCTGCGGCTCTTCAGACTTGTTCAAATAAAGACCAGTCATCATTCAGATGCATGAAACCTCATTAGTGTGTTGCTCAGTTTAAGTACAAGAATGCAGAGATGCTCAGGATACAGGTGCGTTTGACCTGTTTTAATGACGTTTTGCTTATTGATGCATGCAACTGACTAAATTACCATTAAAACCAGACGACAAGTTCATTAGTTCTTTTAATTGTCCCCAGTGAATAATTGGCGTTTTAGCTGTGGTTTGTTCCCAGATCTTTGATCCTGTATTTGGGCGGCAGATGTTGATTTCAGCTCAGGACCAGTGAGCCGCATTTCCTCTATTGCTTTAATTGATTTTAATTCTTGCAATGGTGAGTTTGGATTTCTACCTGGAGGTGTGTGTTTGTGCCTGAGCGATTTATACAATACAACTGCAGCCAGATATAAAATGGTGTGGAACAGATCATCAACTTACCCAGCTGAAGCCAACTGCCAGTAGGAAATAGAAGGTTACACTGTCGCTGCTTAAATCTGCACATGATGTGCATTATTTATTGTATGATTTCAATGAAGTTGTTCATAACTGTATCCTTTGCTGTTACTAAATGTATTTTTCTTACTAAACTAAAGTTAAATGTTTTGTCTCTTCAGACTATTCATTTTACAATGGGTTCTTTACAAAAAAACAAAAATTCACCTATTAATATACTTTCAGTTCAGTGAGACTTTTAGTATTATTACATCACACTGTCTCTGTATTGACTCCATAAGTTACTATCATGTCGTCATTTCACAGGATCGTAATCCATCAGCGACATTTGAAGCGGTGTGACCAGTAAACGAGCAGCATCGCCCTACAGCGAGCTATTACAAAAACTGGAGAAATATTACCGTTCTTCCGGCACGCACACGCGCACACACTCGGACATTTGTCAATGTTTGCAGACAGCATATCCGCCCCTTATGAGCACTGCTGTGCCGAGATGATGACATACACCGTATCCCCTCAGAGGAGCCGCAGCAGCGCAGTAATGGGTTGGAGCTGTCACTTAACGTGTTTAATCTGAAAGGCCAGCTCTTCCATTATGGACCGCTGAAATGTACTACCTGCTCCTAATCCTTGGGCAACTTTTCTAGTAGGATTTTAAACCTGTGCTGTGTCTGTGGATGACTTATCTTTGATATTTAAATTTGATTAAAAGTCTAAATAGGAAGCCAGAGGGAAGCTGTTAATCTTTGAAGAAAATTCCCTGATAAGGGAAGATAGGCAGATGAATAAAGTTCAGATTGACAAAAACCTTTTGTTAAAAAAGTTCCTTTGAAACTGTACTATCACAAAACTTGACAAAGGACGCATATAGCCCCACATGATGACGTTTTTGTGCGCTGAATAGTTCCTGTTTTTGTTAACGCGGAATGACGGAACAAGACTTAATAAACTTAATAGACCTGAGGGAAACTGTGACGTAACCACAAAAATCAGTTTTACTTGAATGCAGCCTCACATTATTTAAAACACAAATTACGGTTACCTGCAGTATGTGATTTCTGAATTGTATTCCACAGATCAAAGAGGACAGACGAGGAGGCGATCTGCTGTTGAATGGAGTGAAGAAGACTGAGGATGAAGATGAAAGAAGAGAGATGATCACCCCTGCCCTGAGAGCTTCACTGACAAAGCAAGGTCAGAGAAATTGGTTTTTGGTTGTTTAAGAAACTGACAGAGGTTCAGTTGCCGGTAGTTCAAACTCACCGACTTCCTTGATAAATGGTACATGTAGAAAGAGGGTATGTCACAGGTGACGTTCTTGGCTGTGTTACTAAGGAAAGATAATTGTAGCACACCAGCTGCTGTAGCATATCCCTCACCTCTCCGCTGAACCAAGGGGAACGTTGTAAGTAATTGTTGTAGATGATTTGTGAACCGTGATGTTCCTTTTCCTTTTTCTTTCAACAGTAAATCTAGCAGTGCTGCGCTAATCAATGGAGCACTAATTAAAACTCATCCAATTAATTTTGTCTTTGACCAAAGTCATTACCAACACTGATGTCCCTTGTGTTCACATGGAAAACTGTTTCTGGTACTTGAACCAGGGTCACACACTTGTTTATAAAGCAGTTTTGTTGAAATCTTGCCATCAATAATAATAAAAAAAACAAACAGTAAAATTCTTGACAGAAAAAGGAAACTGGATTATTGCAATTGTCCATCACAGAGTTGACCTTTAAAGTCTGGCTGAACATACAAGTCCAACTAAAAGAGAACCTTTTGAATTTTTCAAAGTCAGGAAGACATGCACTGAAAATTATAGTTAGAGCTGAATTGAAAATAAGCCCAAACCACAGCGCTACATTTTCAATGATTTGAAGAAACAGTGCTGTATCACAGCTGTCATGTTGCTGCCTGTCCTCATAAATCACCATCACCACCAGGCAAAGCCTGCGCCCAGCTTGTTAAACAAGTAGAATTTACCGCACATGTGAAACCTCAACTAGGACCAAGCCAGAAAAGCCTTAATATGTGAAACTATATATGTGAAACTAGGACCAAGCCAGAAAAGCCTTAAATGAGATAAATGTAGTAGCCATGATGTTTAGAGACCAGAGGTGGACAATTCATTTCCCCAAGGAGCCACAGGGGAAATTAGAATTGTTTTATATGGTCCAGGTCTGCTGTAGACCATAGTGTTCCAGGGAAATGGCAGACTATTTCCTAGTTTCTTTCCAAGAAAGAGTTTTGAGGAGTGGACTCGCCGAAGGATTGGGTTGTTTGTCCTTCCTGCAGCTTTCACTTTAAAAATGATAATATTCTTAACAGACCATCTCCGAGACTGAAAACATTTTTGGTTAAAGCTAAGGTGCTGTATAAGGAGGGGTGTACGGAATGTTGTTTGGTGTTTAATGGCTCATAATGATGTGTGTGCACTTCAATTACCCTCCTTGACTCTTCCTGCCCTCGGGGGTGTGGACCCAGTGCGTCATTCTCCTCCCACTCTAAAAGCTCAGCAAAATACTACAGCGATGTTATTAGAGCTCCTGATCAGATGAACGTCCTTTAAGATGAACTGCACTTTTAAATGAAGATAACATTAGGTAAACTTCAGAAAGACTTTTACTTTTTGCTGAAACTTTCAAGATGGCTGCAATTAGGCTGTCATTTTTAACCTTTCATATTCCATGTTGAATGTACTTGCTTCAAGAAAACATTTTTTCCATCAGTGGATAAATATTTTTTTCCTTGATAAAAGAGGTTTCCTCAAAAAAACACTTGTTTTTCTTTTCACCTTTTCTTGTTACCTCTGTGGGAGATGATGATTCACAGATGGCATCTTTCTCTCTCTTTCACAGAGTAGCACGTATCAAACACAAATAATACCTGTGGAATTCATGTCTGAGAGACGTAGACTTGTTGATAAAATATTTAAACAGTTTTCAGTCCCTTTGGACTGAAGAATATATCTCATCCCCTCCCTTCTGCTGACTTGTCCTGCAGCATCTGTCTGTGTCTTTATTGAGATGTTAAACATCCTTCAGCAGACGATTGTAAATGTATCCAACCCCAGACACTCAGTGAATCTTAAGTTTTGTGCTACATGAGTTCATTGTAAGCTTATACAGGGGTTCCCAAAATTTTCTATGCCAAGAATTAGGTTGTGGCTGCGGACCCTTTTTGCAAACCTATAGACCATATGTAAAGAAATATGAAGTTTTAGACTGTATTTTCTTACTTTTGTTTTTTTTTGGTGGTTTTATTTCTTATCTTCCCTCCAATTTTCTGAGGCTACACTAGTGCCCAGTGGTGGCCCCAACTTAAAAACCATTGATCTAATAATAAAATGTCTTCATGTGTTGGGTATTTTGTAACTATTAAGTCCATTTCAATCTCCTTACACTGTTAGGTTTATAGATCTGTAGAACATTTTCACTGTTCCTTTACTTCTTTCTTTACAGGTTACAAACTAATAGGAAGTCACTCAGGGGTGAAGCTTTGTCGATGGACCAAGGTACCGATTTAAATCTCTCTCTCAACAGATAGTAGTTGTTCTAGTGCTTTTGACAGGCCAAGTACTACATCAGCACCTAGAGCACTAACGCTGTTGATCTCTTGTTTCAGTCAATGTTGCGAGGAAGAGGAGGCTGCTACAAACACACCTTCTATGGCATTGAGTCTCACCGCTGCATGGAAACCACCCCCAGTCTCGCCTGCGCTAACAAGTGTGTCTTCTGCTGGAGGTATGAAAATAATGATCATGTTAATAATAATAATACTACAAATGGTTATAATTATTGGTCTTACCTTATCTCTTTATCACCTGTAATTTAGAAATTGATTCCTGAAAAGAGCTTTTTTCCACTTCACACGTTCTGTTTAGTTTAATTAATTCAATTAGTTGTTTTTTTAATTTGCATTTTCATGAGAGATATTTTTGCTAATTCTTGCACTCTTTGGTTTGATTCTCCTCTTCCTGAAGCAAAAGGCATTTTCATTCTGAAGTGATTTGTAGCATTTGGAGGTTACAGTTTGTGAGTGTAGAGGTTTGTTGTCATTTAATTTGTTTATCATGTTAGTGGAATAATCTTTCCGCTGCAGAACAGCATGACTGTCCAGAAGGACATAACTCTTCAGCCTTC